ACCCCCACCCCCGGACCCACGGTCTCTGAGGAGAGGGTTCTAATCTCATCAGGCTAGTGCATTAGAGGTCATGGCCCTGGTCACCATGTCACAGGTTAGGAACATGGATGTGCCTTTTCTTCTCCCTCATCTTCCCTGCAACTGAAATAATGAGTAACCCAGGGCCTGTCCAGAGTCCCTCTTTCTCCTCTTCTCACTCATGGCCTTGGGTTCTTTCATTGCCTCAGGCTGTAGCACCAGCTGGTATTAAGGTTTAGATTTTGTTTAAGAGGAAAGGGGAGAGATCAACCTGGTATGACAGTGTGAGGTCTGCTGACCCACTCCCCACTGAAACCTGTGTAAAGTACAAAAAAACCCAAGCAAACAAAGAAATAACTACTAACTTCTTAGTAGAAACCATTGAGGTCAGAAGGAAACAAGATATCATGTTTAAAGTGCTCAAAAAAAGCCCTGGCTGGTTTGGCTCGGTGGTTAGAGCGTCGGCCTGCAGTCCTGAGAGACCCAGGTTCGGTTCCCGCTAAGGGCGTGTACCTCGGTTGCAGTTTGTCCCCAGCCCTGGTCGGTTGTGCGGGTGGCAGCCACTCGATGTGTTCCTTTCGCATCGATGTTTCTCTCTCTCTCTCTCTGTTCCTCTCTCCCCCTCCCACTCTACCTGAACAAAAAATGGAAAAATGTCCTCCGGTGAGGATTAAAAAATAATAATAATAATAATAATAAAGTGCTCAAAAAAAGAACTGTTAACCAAGAATCTTAACTCTAAAAAAGCTATCTTTAAAAAATGAGGCAATATAAGAATATTCTCAGATAAAAAAAACTAAAACAAAACAGAATTTGTTACTAGCAAATCTACCTTTGGAAAAATAGTTTTTTTCAGGCTGAAAGCAAGTGATCCCTTACAGTAATTTAAATCCACAAGAATTGCATAGATATTTCTCCAAAGAAAAAAATGCTCAACGTCACTAATCATCAGAGAGATGCAAATTAAAACCACAATGAGATATCACTTCATACCTGTCAGAATGGCTACCATCAACAAATCATCAAACAATAAGTGCTTGTGAGGATGTGGAGAAAAGGGAGTCCTCGTGAACTGTTGGTGGGAATACAGAATGGTGCAGCCACTGTGGAAAGCAGTATGGGGTTTCCTCAAAACATTAAAAATGGAACTGTCATTTGACCCAGCTATTCCACTTCTGGGAATATATCCTAAGAATGCCAAAACACCAATTCGAAAGAATATATGCACCCCCTATGTTAATAGCAGTGTTATTTATATCCAAGATCTGGAAACAGCCCAGATGTCCATCAGTAATGAGTGGGTAAAAAGCTGTGGTCTACTTATACAATGGAATACTACACAGCCATAAAAAAGAATGAACTCTTCCCTTTTGCAACAGCATCAATGGACCTGGAGATTATTATGCTAAGTGAAATAAGCCAGTCAGAGAAAGACAAATACCAAGTGATCTCACTTATATGTGGAATCTAATGAACAAAATAAACTGATAAACAAAACAGAACCAGAGGCATGGATACATGGAACAGACTGACAGCTGTCAGAGGGGAGGGGATAGGGGGGACCGGATGAAAGAAGGTGAGGGATTAGCCAAAGAACATATATACATAACCCATAGACACAGACAACAGAGTAGTGATGGCCAGAGGAAAGGGGAGGGGGACTGGCTGTAGGTGGGCAGAGGGGGGGAGAAATGGGGACATCTGCAACAGTGTCAACAATAACAGTAAAGTTACAAAAAACAAAGAGCACCAGAAAAATGTAATTACGTACTCATAAAAGAGTAAAAATGTTATTTTTCTCTTTTATTCTCCTAATTGACTTAAAAACCAAGTGTATAAAATATGTATATAATGCAGTGTGGAGGCTACAACATATAGAAATGTAATATACAGATAATATACTTGCCAATAAGAGCACAAAGGAGGTGAGAATAAAGCTGAACTGAGCCAAGGAAATGACTACAGATGGTAAAGAAATAATTATAACAATGTACTGCTAGGTTTATAATTTCTGATTCTAATCATTTGCGTCTTCTCTTTTTTTCTTGGTTAGCATAGCTAAAACCTTGTCAGTTTCGTTGATTTCCCCCACCCAAAGAACCGGCTCTTGATTTCATTTATTTTCTCCCTAATTTTTCTCTTCTATTTCATTAATGTTTACCCTGATCTTTACCATTCCCTTGCCAAAGACCACATGGCCAGACATTCTTCCCTCTCTCTCACTCCAGGTCTCCTTTGCAGAGTCCATTGTCCCTTGCCTATGCCTGCAGCTCAGTACTTCTGTGACTGTTCTGGCTACGGCGGACACGGCTGTAAATATTTAGAAAATTCAATTAATTTCCTCCAAAGATTGTCTCTGATTCAGCATCTCCCACCAACTCACAGGATACAGCGAGACCCTTCAGGGAGCAGGAAACTGGCTCTCCCAGGGGTGGCCCTTCAGGATAATTCTTCCTGCCTTGTCATTCTCAGAAACCAGCAGCCTGTCAAAGATTGACAGGAGCAGGGGTCTTCTGGGAAAGCAGACACACAGCTCAGACTTATTCCATTCCAGGGACTGCGTCTCTGACCTGAGAGGGGCGAGGCGGCATCTTCTTGGGGAGGGCATGTTGATCTTGGTGGGGAGCAGCCTGCCGTGGCTGCTTCTTTCCCCACACAGCAAGACTCATTCTCCTTGGCCCTTGTCCTCCTCAGTCCTGGGGCCCACAGCAGCTTTCCACCCCCAGGCTGAGGAGTCTGGGAAACTCAACAGGTGTGGGATGACGGACGGCACCCTCAGCCCCCAGGAAGGTGGGCTGTGAGTCTCCTCAGAGGGCACCTGACTCGCCCTCCTGTGGACACGGTTACCTCTTCCAGCAGCAGTCCCAACACATCTCATTTCTGAAAAATTATTAGTCTATCTCTTTGGACAAGAGGTGTTTCCCCCAGTGGAAGAAGAGACTGAGAACAAGCTCTGGGGCAAGAGGGAGATACAAATATGCGCGTGCGCACACACAGAAATAAAGCAGTGACACATGGTGAGAACAAGGAGGGGTGGGAGGGCTGAAAGTGAGGGAAGGTGAATGGGAACTGCAGGTGGTACAGAAAGAGGGGAAAAGGAGGAAAGAGAAAAGCAGATGGCTGCAAACAAGCAGAAGGGGGCAGCATTCCCGTCTCCAAACAAAGGCTCTGCAGGACATTTTCCTCAGGATGACTTTCACCTCTAAGGATGCTGGCAGAACTCAACGTTATACCTAGATTTGGTTTTCTGCATCCGTGACCCAGGCCTGACCCAATGGCTCCCTCTCAGGCCACAGTGATTAGTTCTCGCCTGGGTGCATGACTCAAGTCAGTCCAGTGAGACCCCACCCCGGGAGCTTTCTTGGAACCATTATGAAAAGGAAGCTCTTTTCTACTGGGACTTTGTGGAAAAGGATGATGAAAGTCTGAAACTGCCAGACACCCTCATGCAGGGATATCCTACTTGAGAATGAAGCCGAGGCAGAGGGAACCAGAATAGGGGGATGGAGACAAATCCCCGACAAGATCAACTAAGCGCTCCTGGATCTAGCTGTGCCTGAAGCCATGCCTACCCTGGGTGTTTCAGGTATGATCTGAATCTCTTTTATGCTTAAATCAGTTTGAGTTGGAGGTTCTGCCTTTAGCAATTGAAACAGTCCTACTAGAATATGAAAACCCATCTACCAGTCTGTTTGTTGCTGATCCTTACCTGAGGATATTTTTCCATTAATTTTTAGATAGAGTGAAAGGGAGGGAGGGTGGGGAGAGAGAGAAACATCAGTTGGTTTCCTCCTGCACAACTCCAGCCAGGGATTGAACCTGCAACCCAGGTACAAGCCCTTGACCGGAATTGAACCCATGACCCTTTGTCCGAGGGCCGATGCTCTAACTACTGAGCCAAACTGGCCAGGGCCCACCTATCAGTCTTGTTTCTTTTACCAGCTCCCAGAAACCAGACCTGAGTACATACCCAGCTGTCCTGACAAATATGTTGGCCAACAGAGCCTGAGATTGTCCCACAGGAGAAACACAAAGTTCCATATGAGAACTGCTAAATGATGATTTATAAAAAGCAAAACTGTCACAGGGAGAAAGGAGGGCTGTGCTTAGTCTGCTGGCCGCACTATGACGTTCGTGGGCACCCTGCACTGTGCTTGCATGGATCCTTTCCTCCATTAAAACAAAAAGTTAAAAATTGCATTTTACAACTGTATTGGCATAAAGATGGATACAATCCAGCAGGCTGGATCGTATTCATTTTCTTCTTCTTACTTTAAAAGGAATGAGAACAGTTTAAAGTATCATGGGCCCTGGACACTGTGCCCACCTTGCCTAATGGATATGCTGGCCCTGGGCCCGTATTATCCAGGCTGTTTATCTGCACAGGCCAGGTTCCCTTGAGACTAACCTGATCTCCTCTCCTTGTCTAGAAGGGGTGGAAGGGCCCGACAAGGCCCTCAGAGCCCAGGCTGGCCTTTCCCTCTCTTTCCACTTCTCTGGGTCATCAGTTAGGCTTCATATTCCAGCAGCCACCACACTGGGGGCACAGCTGTAGTCTGACATTATCACTGCATCATGGGGAGCTGCTCCCAACCTGTCAGGGAATGAGACTGGAAGTCCCCGATGACCCATGTCTAGTTCACTGACATGCCCCAAAGTCCCAGCACAGACTGGGCACAGAACAGATCCCTGGTGGGGGAGGAACGAAGAGACAAAGCATGCTTCCTACTTAGGAAACTCTTGCCACTTAGGACTTGCACTTGGGCCAGCAAGGATACCGAGAGGGACGAGGCAGCCAGGTAGGAATGTGGTACATGGAATGCACGTGCCTGAGGTCTGTCTGAGTCCCCATCCGTCTGGAGGAGGACGTGCTGACTTGCAAAGCTGGAGGGGGTTACTCTGGCCAGCCCCGTGGTGAGCAGTCATGAGTCAGCATGAGAGGTCCGGGTGGGTTCCTCGGCCCCAGATTGCCCCTCACTCACCTTCATCACTGGTGTGAGGTTCGGTGCCGTTGTCATGGTCAACTTCATCAATGGTCCCTGGCTCACTGTGTGGGCTGTCACTGCAAAGAAACACAGGAAGGGGACTCGTTGGGAGGCTTTGCACCTCATGCTGCCCGTAGCCTCCCTCAGGCACCAGCCCGGATCAGGCCCGGGCCCACTTGATCCCGTCTTTTCCATCTGACCACCCATGGACCTTCCTTCCTAAGAGCAAACCACTTCCAGCCCCCTGGTTGGGAAGCTTCCCTGCATAACCTTGCCCAGAGGCCCCCAGCCCTGGAATTTGTTGGGCTGTCTTCTTGGTCAAGGTTGTCAATGCCAAGGTGTTCTGTAAGATCCAGAGGGCAGTGGTAAAACTCTGGCTTTTATCCTCAGAAGAACCACAGGGTAGAAAAGGAAGGGATTTTGGAAGTACTGTGAGACATTCATTTAGCCTGGCTCCCTGTCTACACGAGAGGTGACACCCAGAGCAGTGGAGGGTCCTCGGAGTGGCCTTACGATGCTGTGTGCAAAAGCCCAGGCCAGTCCAGGTGGTGCAAGCAGACCAGCCACCGGGGTAGACAGGGTGGCAGAGTGACTCCAGGTTGGTCAAATTTAGTCACCAATGCACTGGGGTCGTTTCACCAGCTGGTACCCTCTTTCGAGATTATAAGCTTCTTGAGGCCAGGGTTCACTCACACAGTTTGTCAGCTGGTTTCTTTCCTGAGCCGTTGATTGAGTCCTAATATATGCCCGACACTGTGTAAGGGAGGAGGGATGCACTGATGGGCCAGGGGACACAGACCTGCCCTCTGGGCCAGGAAACAAAACTGCAAATGGAAATGTTTTATGTAGAAACAGATGAGCAGAGACCAGAACAGCAGAGGGGACCTACACAAGGTGGTCAGGGGAGGCGTCTAGGAGTAGGTGACATTTGCAACGCCACTTAAAGGCATATAGACTTTATTATGAAAAATGCCCTACTGCCTCCTGGATAAGGTCCAGACTCTGCACAATGGCTCATGTAAGACTCTCCTAACTCGGGTCCTGCTGGCGCGTAGTGTCTGCCCTCGCCACTTCCCTGGCACACGAAACGCTCCGGACACGCAGACTACTGTCCCTTTCATTGAATGCCCCAAGTTTAGAGCACTCTTTGCCCACTCCTCAGCTGGCTGACTCTAGTTCATTCTGTAGGTCTCAGTTAAGTCATTATAGCCTCCGGAAGCCTTTCCTGACCTCCCTACATTGGCTCAGGGGACCCTACTTCTGGAACTGCCTAGTCCCTCCTCCCAGAGCTCCCAGCATCGGGGGTTCATTCTGTTCAGGGCACATCCTCCCCCCAGCCCAAGGCCTGGGCCAGCACGGATGCTCAGTAAGCGTTTGTTGAGTCAATGAATGTTGTCCATTGTGATGAGACCCTCAGCCAAATGCCCCCTTGGAGCTTTGAAATTGTCTCCAAAATTACCATATAATTGATAGTTTTCCTTTCTCAGGGTATGCAAATGTGATTAAGAAAAGGATGATGATTGTACAGTGTTCTTTGATAAGTACATCAAGATCTGTAGGATCCTTCCCAGAACACAAATGATATATATATAAGAACAGAGAACTAGTAATGGTTACAAACACTTGAAAAGCTTCTCTTTGTCCAGAAAGCCCGCTTGCTGGCTGTGTACCATTTCTGTTCCGAACAGGGACAGACTTGCTCCGAGGGCCTCACATGAGATTAGAGAGCTGTGCTAACACCGGGCCCAGTCTTTCTGCAGAGAAGTGTTATGGGGAAACGGGCCGGGGCATCGGTCTTCTTTGAAGCAGTTGCCCAAATATGCCCACAGAACGAAAGCATTTAAGAATCCAGGAATGCTTTGACAATCAAAAGACAAACTCCCGTAGGCACCTGGCTCAAAGCAGTGTGGGTAATGCCGAAATATACAGCTGTGTATTGTTATGGATGGGGAATAAGGAAAGAGTGAGAACCCTTTGATAGGTTTCTGCCAGCTAGTGCTCTCAATCTCCTGTCTTTTCCACATTAAAAAAACATTTCTATCTGACCACATTGAAGGTCTTAGCCTGGGGAAGTTCGTAGGCCTTCATGTGATAAGGCTCTGACATATTTCTCCCCAGGACCAGAGTAGGCGCGTAACTTAGCAACTGTTGACCTGGTGTGGAGCTCTCAAAGACAGTGAGTCCACTTTGCAAGAAAAGAGAACTCCTGGATGGACAGGGACAATGGTAGGACGTGTCACTCTCAGTTCATGAGTTTGAGGTGGAGGTTATCTACTTCCCTGCTCTCTGGGATGGGCTTACAACTCCCCTGGCCAATGACAGCATTACACCTGCTAACAAGGTGATTAGTTCACCAGACTCCAGCCTCAGCAAGGAGACATCATTCTTGGGCTTGTGCTAGAACATTTGGGAAGAAGAAGCTCTTTTTCCAATGGGAATGCTGAGAAAATGGACTCTGATTCTGTAGTTACCAGATGCCTTCTTGAATCCACCAAGAAAAGGGCTGCCTGAGAATGAAGCCAACGAGGAAGAAAGCAGAGCCGCAGGCTGGGGATTGTAGGATCAAGTCCTGGGGATAATAGTTGAACCCCTGGATCCAGCTATACCTGAAGCCATGATCCAGACTTTTTAAGCAAACCAACACATTCCCATTTAACTTAAGCCAGTTTAGTTGTAGTTCTGTCCCTTACACATCAGCAATCTTGACTGATGCATCTATCTCATGTCAGGCTGCTGTGAAGCTCAAATGAGAAAAGGTGTATGGGAGTACACTAAGAAAATTAAAAGGTTTCTAACTGTTCCCATTCAACAACAACAACGATGATAATAACAACATTAAGAGGAGTGGAATCTTACCAATATTCTTCCCCTCCAGCCATGCATTTTTCATACACGGGTCCTTCTAGCTCCCGGGGGCTGGGAAAGATGGCTTCGTGATGGATGATGATGGTTTTGATGACTTCGTTGACGTGTGCCTGGCAGGACACAGGGTCCTGCCCATCAGGAATGTGCATGAGGGTGGGCCCGAAGCAGATGGCCAGATTGTAGGGATCCATCATGTTCTCGTCACTGTACTGCGAGAGGCTACAAGAGAGGAGGCACTCTGTCACCTAAGAAAGGCGAAGGCTCCCCCTGTGGTTTCTTTTTCTTGGGGCTCCCCTCAAATCTGGGAGGGTTCCATGTTCAGCTTTGAGAGCAGCTACACCTGCTAAAGCCTCAGAATCCCCCCTCCCAAAGTAGGCTAGGGCTGAGGCAAAGAGGCACCCCCTGGCTGGACCACTCACTGGTTGAGGAAAGCGAAGAGATATCTCATGACCACGATGACCACGCGGGGAAGGGTGACGAGGATTTGTTGGATCTGGTGCACCCTCTCAGCGGGGCTCTCCAGTTCTGCAACACAAAGGGCCTTCAGGTTATCTGTCACCCTCGGAGAGCCCAGCAGCCAGCATTTCCAAGTCCCACCTCCTCCGTCAGCCCACATAGTTCAGGGGGGCCCCTTCTACTCAGTTCTGGGGACTGAAATGTGACCCTGGCTGGCCAAAGCATCCTATTCCCCTGGCTATTGGGTAGGTCCAGGGAGGAGAACACAGCCTAATCAGAACCAGCTACAGTTGATCCTTGGGACTTTGGGCCGGAGAAGCTAGAGAGGCGTCCTCTTGAAACTGGGTAGAGGGAGGTGAGGCAGCTAGGGGATCCCAGGGAAGAAGATCCTGCCTGGATGACAACACAGAGAAAGAGGGGACAGATTCCTGCTGATGCCATCTGAAGTCTGCGTCCAGCGAGGGCCTCCGCTTTTCAGGAACGTGAGCCAATAAAAAATCCCCTTATATGGATTAAGCCAGTATACGTTGAGTTCCTGTCACCTGTGCGTCCTGATGAAAACAGGTAGCCCATGTTTCACTAGACTCTTTATAAACACCAGCTATGGCCCAGCTAGCACATAGGAGGTGCTCAGGAAAAGAGAGCTGAATAAATAACCACCTCTCGAACTAACACTGGCCAAAAAGCCTGGCAGATGCTTGCGATCTTGCCTCTGACCCGTTTTCAGGTCAATCGGACGGAGGCGGACACCGATGTTTTTATCAGTCAGGCCGGGGGTGGGAGCAGCGAATCGGGCTGGATGCGGAGAGAATGTGCGTGGTGGGCTTGCCTTGTGGAGAGGGAAAGCTGCAGCCAGAGGGAGCTGCTGGAGCTGCTGTTCAGCTGCAGGCTGATGCCGGGCTGATGCACAAGCCACGTGGGTTTCTTTTCCAGAAAACGCGGCCTTCTCACGTCGCCCCTCCCTCCAGCCTCCGCGTTCCTTCAACGTGTTTCTTCTAAAACACCCCTTTTCCTGTTTCTCCTCTGCCTCCAAGGCCCCTCACGATGGGGCTTCACCCAACCGCGCATGTCCCGTCTCCTGGTCACCGCCCCTTCCCAAGGCATCTGGAGAGGATCAGAGCCATGATTCTCAATGAAGTAGCAGTGCACCTCTGGGGGCGCTTACAAGTATATGAGGCATCCTTTGAGGCTGTCAGTGACTGGAGGGTGCTCCTGGCATTGGGATCCAGGGCAGCAAGGGGCTACGCGTCCTGAGTACAGGTAACACACTGCTCTATCCTAATGCTCTCGGTTCCCCATTGAGAAACTCTGTGCCAGGCCACTTGATCCACCATCTCCCTTTCACAAAGGACCTGGCAGCCCATGGGCCTTTGCACACACTGTTGCTCTCTCCTCCCTGTCAGGCGCATGGCCGCCAACCTTCAAGGTCTGGCTCCAGGGAGCTTCGCCAAAGCCTTGCCACAGAGTTAAGGCTCTGGCACCTTTACCAACTCCACTGCCCCTCCGCGTCCTCACCTTCAGCCCTCGTGCCCTGGCACCATCTCCATTATCATTTATTAATTTTTTCAGAGAAACATTTAGTTAAAAAGGAGACTTGACCTCACTCTGTAAATGAGAAACCAGGATCACTCGCCACAGTTAGAAGGTAACATAAAAATAGATATAATGCGCCCTGGCCAGTTTGGCTCAGTGGTTGGAGCGTCGGCCTGCGGTACAGAGAGACCCGGGTTCGGTTCCCGCTAAGGGCACGTGCCTCGGTTGCAGTTTGTCCCCGGCCCTGGTTGGTCGTGCGGGTGGCAGCCACTCGATGTGTCCCTTCACATCGATGTTTCTCTCTCTCTCTCTTCCTCTCTCTCCCTCCCGCTCTATCTGAACAAAAAATGGAAAAATGTCCTCGGGTGAGGATAAAAAAAAAAAAAAAAAAGATATAATGCAAGCAAAACAATATTACTAAATTATAGGTAGTCATGGTTCTATCCAAAAGTTCCTGAGACTGAATCCCATCTCTCCGTGGAGAAGGGAGATGGACCCGCGAGGTTCTCTCCTTGATGTAAACAGTCACAGGGTCTGGGAAGAAACGGAGAAGGGATGTTCTTTCTCATCGTGTGATTCAAGTTATTCAATGTCGTGAGCGTGTGCCAGAGGTCAAGAACCGTGTCTGCTGAGGACCCTGCTCAGGGACTGGAAACGGGCTGAGCAGGTGACACAGGGCGCAGACAAGAATGGACCTCTGTGGCCTGGAGCTTCTGAGAGCTGATTTGGAGCGTGACGTGGGTCTGGAAAGACGAGCAGGACGCAGTGTGGAGGCAGAGGGCGGAGGAAGGGTGCTTTGTACAAGGCAGATAAGAGGGCAGAAGCCTCCCTAGGCTGTCACCACCGCCTGGGGCACTTTCTTGGCTGCAGATCAGAACATCGTGAGAAGGGTCCCTAGTGAAAGTGGGTGTGGGGTAATTTTCTGTAAATCATATTAAAGAGTTTATTCCAAAATATTAAAAGTATCATATTCTAATAGTAAATGTTTATTTTCAAAATAGACCCCGAGACATAGAAAGGAGTATGGTTCAGACTGACAAACCTCAGAGGAGGGGAGCCAGGGGGATGGAAGAGAAGAACCAAAGAACTTAGATGCATGTATGCATAACCAACGGACATAGACAACAATGCTGGGGGTGGGGGGCGGGATGGGGAGGAGGGTGTCTAGGAGGGAAAAAGGAGCAACATCTGTAACAAAAATAAATTAATAAAAATTGGGGAAAAAAAATTCCCAAAATGTTGCCTTGACTTTTGGCATCTTAGAGTCAAGGTGCCTTTACTTCAGCCCCCTGGACTGGGCTCCTGACTTTATCCATAGACATACTACCAGTCAAGGTCAAGGAGGACTCTGATGGCTAGCTAGTCAGAGGAAGCCCACAGTCAAGTTATTTTCACCGTTTCCCTCATTTGTCATGTTGCTGACCTGACTCCCAAGCCCTCCATGGCTCCCACTACCCAAGGGGAAAATCTCTGGAATCCTTGCAAGGCATTCAAGCTCGTCCCCCTCTTGCTCCATCGTTCCCTTCGAGCCTCTTACACCATGCACTGAACAAGAAGCCCTCCTGCTCAGCCCTTTGGTCTGTGTGTCCCCAACTCTGCCCAGGATCCCTGTGTCCACTCCTGAAGACTCCGCTCACATCACTCTCAGCCATGATCTGAGAAACTAAGTCTTCCTCTCTCCTCTTCGGAGCTCCTTCCACACCCAGGGGTGTACCATGCCCATCAGCTCTTCCATTAGAAACCATCTTGTTATTTCTACAACTAGGCTTTGAGTTCTGTGGGAACAAGGGCCACCTGCCTCTTTCACAGTGCCCCTCCTGTGTGCCCAGCACAGTGACGAGCCGTAGTGCAACTTCAAGAAGGCTTTGTCAAGGAAACAATCTTTCCGCCTGAGAAATACTTACTGATGGTAGATATCAAATCTTGAAACCTTTCCTTAGGAAAGAGTGGGTTTTCCAGTCCTCGGAAATACAGTTTTAAGACGCCAGCAACTGAATTGATATCACGTTCATTTTGATCGTCCACAAGGGGGTCTTCACCTGTGAGGACACAGGGGGTGATGAGTCAGCTTGAATAGGAGGCGGGAATATACAGATGGCGGAAGAGGTGCCCCAGGCCAGCCTGAACTGGAGGAGAGGCATTTGGGACAACCTCCTTCACACAGCAAGTTTAGAGTCCTCCCTGCAACTGATTTTGTAAATGCTCAAATCTATAGAAATGTAAAGGTCAAATAACGACCACCCATCTCCCTTCACTGACACTCATCAGCTTACACTCATCTTGCTTTCTCTCCACTGGGCTGCAGTTTCTACTCCTAGCAACACAGGAGAATGCTCCTTCCCACAGCCCCGCCCACGGGCTGCTGTCAGTCTTGTACATTTTTGCCAATAGCATAGGGCGAATGATCTCTCAGGAGAGCAGCACTTTTCAGTTTCATCAGGGGCTGCTGGGCTAGTTCACCCCCAGGACAGCTCCCGTGGGAAAGGTGAGAGGAAGCAGGGAGCAGTCTGCCCCTCCCCGCTGAGCCAAACCAGCCAGGGCTCCTTGGTCCTTAATCTTTAAGCTCAGCTTAGGGCCAGGGGTGAAGAATGCCCAAGTACCGCATAAGTCCCTCAAAATCAATACCAGCTGATATCACAGGCCTCACCAAATTAGCCTGACCAAATACAGCAGGCTAATTTTTAAGTTGATAGTTTTGTATGGCCCGTGAAAGATGTTATAAATATCCAAATGGCTCTTGGCAGAAAAGTTTCCCCACCCCGCCCTGGCCGGTTTGGCTCAGCGGTTAAAGCGTCGGCCTGCGGTCCGGAGAGACCCGGGTTCGGTTCCCGCTAAGGGCACGTACTTCGGTTGCAGTTTGTCCCCGGCCCTGGTTGGTCGTGCGGGTGGCAGCCACTCGGTGTGTCCCTTTCACATCGATGTTTCTCTCTCTCTCTCTCTCTCTCCCTCCTGCTCTATCTGAACAAAGAATGAAAAAGTGTCCTCGGGTGAGGATAAAAAAAAAAAAAAAAAAGTTTCCCCACCCCTGGTAGGCATGTCCTGGGCTTTGCTATCCCTCCCCACTCCGTCCAAGCTGGGCTTGCTGTCTGGGCTCTCCCACTAGCAGTGGCTGTCTTTTGTTCTTGTACTTTCAGGCTCCAGTCCAGAGCCTCGTGCAGGGTAGAGCTCAATGCATGCTGGTTAAGTGGATAAATACATGGATAAATAAAGAGTAGGAGTTTGAAACAGGGGAATTCTGGGGTTTTATGGTTCTAAGTGCCCAAGATCCTGGAATGAACTCCAGGACTTAAGCTCCCCTGGATCCTAGGAGGTCACTCAGTGCCCCATCCAGCCAAATCTTGCTCTCTATACCTGGTTCCAAGTCACAGTGCCCAGGTGTGTGCTGGGGGCTATGGTGGTGCCTGCCTGGGTCTGACATAATGCTCCCCCCACCCTGAGCTAGACCTCAGGATGGAACTGGGAGGTTAGGGAGGGGGTGAGAACTAGTTAACCTCATTAGGGGTAGGAGGAGAGTGTGGTCTCTTCCTCCCTATGTATAGGCTTTGCTAAAAACACTCCATAGAAAATTAAGAATTAGGATATTCTAAAATCCACTCAGTGTTATCTATGTTCTTCCAACTTTTCTAAAACACAGCAGCCTTTGCAGCCTCGCAGAATCATTCCAGAGTGCTTTATACAGGGTCCTCTCTCCCAGCAACCACTGTACAGCCCACCAGAAGACGTCACCCATGTGTGCCTGCAAACGTTTAACAGCTGGTGCGCTGGAGGGGAAAAAAAAAGATCTTGGTGTTTGCCAATTTCTGCAGTGTAAATACTCCCCTCAAGGCTGATGCCAACCCATCAAGGTGAAGTCACTGCACACGACGTGCTAACACCTACCCTTGCTTCCCCTGGCCACAAGCTTGAGACGGTCTCTCTGCACCTACCTCTCTCAAAGGAATTTTTGATGTCATTGACTTCAACCTGAGATCCTGGCACTCTGAAGATCCCTTGCTGCTGGAGTCCTGTAAGAGAAGAAAAACGAAAGAGAAAAATGCCATGAGGCCTTGAGCGCATCAGATCACTGGGAGCACTGATGACTCACCCCACTGCTGGTCTCTTTCTCCCACCGTCCTTTATAAGAGAGTCATTCCCAATGAAGGTCTCCAGGCAGAAACCCAAAATAGCCTTTGCAATGAACTGTGGTTGGCCAAAATGCTCAGACACATTCTGCTTCATAGGTCTGTGTCTCTTGTCTGGGCTGGTAGGAAAAGGCCACAGGAAGTTTATATCAAGACTGGATCAGTGAATAACTTCCAATGGAACCTATAAGTCAGCTCAGGCAAATAACCGGTTGGTGCACGTTGCTACTGAGTTTACCAGCTGCATTGGCACCAAGGAGCTTGGCCTGAGTTTATAAATGCCATTTGAGTGAAATGGCCACAGAAATTTTGAACAAAAAGATAATACCACTGCCTCAACCCTTTCTTCCCCTAACACAGACATTTTCTTCCTTCAAGAAAAGCTAGATTCTAAAGTACATGCTGGCCTGGGATCGAGAAATTTAGGGAGATTCAATCATTAAAGAAAAACAATCTCGCCCTGGCTGGTCTGACTCAGGGGTTAGAGCGTCGGCCTGCGGACCAGAGAGTCCTGGGTTCGGTTCCCGCTAAGGGCATGTACCTCGGTTGCAGTGTGTCTCTGCCCCAGTTGGGGTCGTATGGGTGGCAACCACTCGATTTGTCTCTCTCTCTCTCTTTCCCCCCCTCTCCCTCATGCTTTATCTGAAGATAAATGGAAAAAAAAAGAAAAGAAAAGAAAAACAATCTCCTTTCCTTCAGTGTTTCTACAAGGCTAGGACGAAGGAGACCCTGATGCCTGACCTAATTGTAATAACATAACAGCAGCCAACAGGATGGAGGGAGTTGAAGGACCTCTCTCCTTTTAAATGGGAATTAGTGGGGGATACTCTGATCCTTTCCCTTGGACTCGGTGTTTTTGTAAGACAACTCTCCACATTATAATTGAGGAAAGTGTTTACTCTTAAAAGATAGGCTTTTGTCAAAGTTTGGTTTGTACGCAGGTGCTCAATAGACACTTGTTTATTTCTTTCAATACTGACTTTCTACCTATGTCACTGGCCCATTCTTGTCCAGTCCCACTGGCTTTCATCCCACATTAGCCCTGACACTTGCCCTTCTCTCCACCTGGACTGCATGGCTGGCTCTTCCCTTCACTCAAGTCCTGAAGGGCCCTGCAGCCTTAATCACTCCCTTGGAGACGTCTCTCCTTACCACCTCAGCCAAAGCAGCTCTGCCCCCTCCAGCCATTCTCTGTTCCCTTTCATTCATTTCTTGGCAGTATCACTACCTGAAATTACATTATTTCTTTCTCTGCTTGTTTATTTCCTTGCCCTTCTAATTGGTAATGTAGCTACTCATGGCTGGTTCCTTACTGGGATCTTGCTCAAGCCTGTATTCCCATTGTCCAAACAGTGCCTGCCACACGCTGAAAAAATATTTCTGGAGGAATGAATAAGTAAATGCTGAGGATCCCATGGTTAGCAAATCCCAGACACTGTATTTCCTTCATGGAGCTTGCTACAAACTTGCAGTATTAACTGACAGACTGGCCAACAGCATTCAGTGCTCACAGCACAGAGCGCTGGGGCTGGGTGGAGTAAGGAAGGAGCATAAAGGATTCTCCTGGCCATGCCTTTCCTGCTCCTCAGTTTTCCTAGTCGCTGGGTCTTCTCACCACCACTCTCCATCCCTGGACACACAGGGCTCAAAAGATAGCACCCAGGAGAGCGCTGTTCCAAGGAGTGTTTCCCCCTCAGAAGCAGAGCAGACACAGGAAGTCTTCCAGATGAATTAGAATCTCGGTTCCTATGACAACAGCTTCGCACCTGTTCTGGAGGGTGCTGAAAACACTGCCCCACGATTGAGCTTACCGTATAAATTGATGTATCGGATGCAGCTCTCAACTACAAGCGGTATAGCTTGTCCCGAATCCTTAAGAAAAAAATTGTGAGTTTTATTGGGCTTGGCAACCACCCAGGAAAAAAAAAAGACATTGCAAACACAGATTATCAACTCAAGCCAGAATATTAGTACCATGAGATTAGTAGGAAAACAAGCAAGGAACTGCTAATCCTAAAGTCTCCACAAACAGTTAAAATAGAACATCTTCAGTTATGTGCAGAAAAAGGAACAGCTATGATCATTTTAAAGAAATGCTCTGTCTTCTTACTCAGCTGGGAAGGAATCAGGGCTCAGGAGACTTGATGGGCAATCTGGAGGGGGGGGGGACCCCCTGCATAGAGACCGGTGGAGTGGGCTCTTGGAGAATTCTCTGCCTCCCACTCCACTTTGCCCCAACTCAAGCCTATTCTCCCAGGACTCAGGGATGAAAAAGCAGGGCCAAGGCCTCCTCCCAGGACTGCAGTACCCAGGCCCAGAACTAAGAAGAATACTCTATGGGAGAAGAAAGCTGGCCCGAGGGGTCCTCTGGTGCCCTGAGAAGAGAGGACCAATTCTACTCAGGATGTTACAACCTAAACACCCAGACAAGATACTTTGTTAAACAGTAAACATGTTATAAAAAATAAAGGTTCTAGAATCAGCTAATGTCAGCCCTTGACCACTGAGTGGTCAACCTTAGTCAAACAGGCTGAATAAGATGCGATTCTAAACACAGGCATCTGGGCTGTGAAATGTATTTTCAGTTACATCTTCCTGGACTGGCCCGTGGCCACCAAGGGCAGGGCCAGGGGTCATTTTCTTTTGAATTCTTTGATCGACTGGCCTCTCTGCTATTTCAGGTCACTAAAGAGCACAAGATCTTTTTTAAACTCTTTGAAAGGGTCCAGATTAAATACCCGCCTCCTCAGCGGGTGAGGGAGCAATAAGGTATTTGCACTGTGCTCCTGTAAGGGCACCTGGACGCTTCCGGGGCTCCTCCACACCCCCCTGGGAGAGCTTCCCTTGACTGGCTTCCGTCAGGGGCAGGATAACAGAACAGACCCGCTGCCACAGGAAGGTGGACCTGTTCTAGAAGTCAGTGCTAAAGACGGGTTCCATCCAGCTGAATGGGGCTAACGGACCTTTCTAGTAAATACCTGGTTCCTGGTTCGAGCATTTCTTCTTCCTCTGATAACAAAACATAAACAGGCAGCAGAGCAGGAGAAAAAGAAAAGATTATGCAGGAGTAAGATCAGTTAGAGTAAGCAGATCCTTCAGAGTCCGTGAACGCCAAAATGCAATGGCAGCCAGCAAAGGTCCGGGGACGCTGCCCACCAGCGGGCTGGGGGGAGGGACGCCCTGCGTCAGGGCCTCGTGGGAGTCCCTGCCAGTGGCTCTCTTGGACAGCAGGTGACAGAAGGGCCTCTTTTCGTCCCTGTCAAATTGCAGGAACAGTGTGCACTAAACCCTTTCTTCACCCCAATATCTGGCTTCTCCCCAACACGGGGGCTCTGTATACACCAGCGGGCCAGGACCCACTAAAGGCCCCTTAGGGTTAGCCCAGCTGCCCACAAAAAGGAGAGACACACACCCTCCTGTGTCTACTGCAATGCTGCCCCTGGAAGTCAGCTCAGGAAACCTCATTTCGGTAACAAGCTAATTTTACCAAGATCACGTGTACCATGTGCCCTCTGGTTAGGTCCCGACAGGATTCCGCCTGGCTCCAAGTTCCAAATGGCTTCCCTCGCTCTCCTACCAACAGCCTGGGTAGTTTTTCCTGGGTATCCACGTGGCTTTGCTCCCCTCCCAACCCTGGACCCTTACCCTAGCACTGAGAACACCTCGGGGAACCCCAAATCTGAGAAAGGCGGGCAGGGAGGCCAGCAGGGGGCAGAATGCCCTCACCTTGCCTTTGCTTTTGCTGCCGCCACTGAGGGCAGCTTGGCTCTTCCTTCCCGCAGTGCAGCGGGTCAGGCTCCGGGTGGGTGCTATGCCTCGGCCAGGTTTCCGAGGAGGCAGGACTGAGAAACCGGAGGACGTGCTAGCCGGTGACATCTATGCAGTCGCCGCATCTCAATAACTGGAATGATCCTATGTTGGCTACACCTACCCGACTCCTAGAACCGAGCAACAGCCTGGCCAGGGGGCTCTGTGAGCGAGCCCCTAGCAGCCCATGGCGACAAGGACACTGAGCACTCCCAGAGAGCTTGCTGTGTGCACCCAGCGCATGCCGTCGACCGGCTCATCTGGGCCAAGTGTCACACGCTCCGGAGGCAGGCGACTGCCATTCTTGTTTGGTAGAAACAAAGTGAGGACTCCCTCTCTGTCCTAGGAGAAGACCTCCCGGGCTTCAAAATGTCGAATAAAAATTGGGTTTATTTCTATCTGAGAGGAGCCAAAAAAATCAAGGATTTTGGAAAGGGTCAATTCAGGCAGGGCCCTAGAAATGTATTACATACTCCAACAGCAATGTATCTGTCCTTCTTAAGCTGGGGACACCTCCTTGTCCCTCTAGACCTTCGTCATTACAGAGTCCCTGTGATGTTATTTTATTGGAAAACCTTTCATAGGTTTGGCATTTCAAAGCTGGGGATTCTTAGTCCCCGTGGAATGTTCTTCCAGGTGGCACATAAATCATAAGAGAAAACTAAATTCTGTTCACAGAGGTTGAAAAATGAACTGCGTTTTACTGCTTTCTCTGAAAGGTAACATCCTTGAGTAAGACCAGGCTTCGTGCAAGCTTGCCTACACTGCCTCGCTCGCAGCAGGTGTGCAGAAGACTGAACTGCACTGACAGTGTGTCCTAAGTAGTGTCACTATACACAGATGCAGTCGTTAAACAGACATAACTCTTTCTTTTCAAATAGTCCCCTGAGGAGGCTGTGTGTGTATTCCAAAATGAGCCACAGCTCAGTGCTCTGGGTATCCCTCTGTGGGGGCCTTTTCAGAGCCAGTCCGCCAGCCCCACTCCAGCATGTGCCTCTTGCCATTTTGTACCCCCAGTGGTGTTGCAAAGCTGAGCTTAGAAAGACCAGGGTGGCCATTCTAATGCAGAGTTTGGCACCACTGACAAATGCCAGCCTGCATGCTCTAAGGGGGACTGGCCACCTGAAGCGATAGCTACATGTCTAGAATAAGAATGTAGCTTCCCGAGGTGACCACCTCCAAGGGGCAAACTCTCACACAGCTGGAGAAGTTCTGATGTGTGTCAGGAGGATCCAAGTCAGATGACTTCATGTAGGAGCTGTCTAAGAGGCTATTTCCTTAGACAGAATGACTGATTTTCCAGTCCTGTCAGATAAGAGTCAGCGCCACCTGCCCATTCTCACTGATCACCCATTTCCAGGGAGCTGAGTAAGTTAGAGATGGTGTCCCTGTCTCGGAGCCTTCGCTCATTCTGTTCCTCCTTGCAGGGCTCCACTGTCCTTCTACCCTCTGCTCTGTCCCTACCCTTCCTCCAGAGGAAGCTCCTGTGCCCTGGGGCTCAAAACTCTTCTTGCTCTGAGCTCACACAGAACCTTTTCCATGGGGATAGTTCACCAAGTGCCATGAATCACCTTATGCTTTCAGCTCTCTGTGTTGAAATCCTCCCAAATGACACCTAAGTTCCTTGCGGGCAGGGAGAACAGCCTGCACGCCTTTCGGTCCCCGCTCGGTTACAGAAAGTGGCTTTCCCGAGGTCCAGGGTAAAGTCTTGGCAGAGGGAGGAGGGAAGCTGAAGAAAGGACAACGCTTTGACATAGCCTCATCCTCCTATGACCAATGGGATGGCAAAGGACTCACTCAGGGACACCTTTTTCCTGAGGCACCCAAGGGCACCCCACTTCTGGGGACCCTCCATGCCTCACCCCTCTGAGGTATACTGAAGCAGCCCCACCGTTTCCCACTTGGGGAATCTCACTTGTGCCCCGCTATCCTTCCCCCAGAACTCAGCCCACAGGCAGAGACAGTCCTGAGATCCAGGCACCGGTACCCTCCCCCTCTGCACGTCCTGGGTGTACCCTGAGGATGCAGGAAGGAGGGCAGCACAGTGGGGCCCCATTTCTTCCAAACTCAGCAAAGCCCAAGAGCCCTTACTGTCCCTGACCGACAGCAGTCTTCTCTTCTGCAGGAAGTGTCTTCACTGGATGGGCAGCTCTGAAAAACCTGGCAGGGCCCTTCTTGCTCCCCTTCCTCGGTCTCTCCTTCACCTGCCGCCCTTTCCAACTCCATCGCCATCTGAACTGGCCTGAGCCATTGATGAGGGACGGCTTGACCCTGTACCCTTCGCGTCCAAAAACAAAAGCAGAGGCACTGACCTCGCTGAAACGCTTTTGTTTTTCATTGAAGGTGTAAAGAGTAACCTGGAATTCTAAGGGACTGCCTCTTCTCCCTTCTCCCAACCCGCCTAACAAGAAGCAAAACTAGGAGGGGGTCCTGTCATACACATTTTATGTTTCCTTTGCTGGCATAGTCTTAACTGAAAAAAAATAAATAAAATCACTGTTGCCCACAGGGATTTTCTTTCTGTTGCTTCCGGCCAAGCTCCTCTTGGGAGACGTGGGTGTGGGCGAGGGCGGGGGTTTCCCGACAGGCCCTTTGGCAAGTGAGCACCAAGTTCCCGGGGCAACAGAGCGGGGCTGGCAGACCACTGCGCTGGCACCTCTGCCCACGTAGGCTTCACCGGGTTCTGCATGATCTTACCCCTGAGAATCCCAGAAAGCAACTGGCCAGAGACCAAAGCAGCTCTGATTAGAAGCCCTCGCTGGAGCTAAGCGCAGGCTGCAGGTGGGGACTAGTTGGCCATAGAGCCAGGCCGAGGGCACGATGGAAAGTTCTGGTAGGTGGGGGCAGGGCGCTGGTGAAGGGGAGCATGTGGAGAGAGGCTGCCATTACATTGGGCACATTCGCGGACTCTGCGGCTCCCAGCAAGTACCTTAATGAACGCTTCCATACAGCCGTTAAATAGTTTATGGCTACACACTGAGAGAGGCCTAGGTCTCCTCATTTTCTGTGGTTTAGGGGGAAGACAGGGGGGCCTAGGGGAAAATGGAACAAAAGAAATCAAGAAAGCAACCAATGTAAACATACAACTGGGAGAGACGCTCTTAAAACCCATGACCGGAGCAGAACACACAATGCAGATGGAAACCCCTGAGCCCCCAGCACATTGCGTCCAATGCTCCATCTGAGGGCCTTTGGATGTTCAGGGGACCTTAATTCACCCACAATGGCAGGCGGGAGCGGCACCCGTGTAGCACAAATGCATTCTGAATCATAGCGGGAAACAGCACGTGTCCAGGAAACCACTGAACCTCCAACCAGAGGCTGTCATCCTGCAAAGCTGACCAGATGGAGGGGGAATCAGGGGAGAGAGATGTACTCTGTAGCCCGAGAAAGCAAGAGACTTCCACAGATGATTGGAAGGGTTAATTTTTATTATTTTGGCTTAAATGGATCACCAAGTCTCAGTTCCCAATGTTCCAGGGCCCTGAACTTCCTAATGCCTTTGACATTTCAAATGCACTTGACTAATCTTTACTTCATTGATCTAACAGCCAGGCAATTATCATTCTCATTTTAGAGATGAAGAAACTGACACCGAGAGAGGCTGCAGCTTCTTTGGGGTCCCAGGGTGACCCAGGATGATGATTATATCCTGTTCTTTAGTCAAGTACACTTGGATTAAAGCACTTTCAAATCCACTTCCACACTTCACGTCAGCTCAGTCCTGTATGTGTGGCCTCATTTTCAAACAGTCAATAACCAAGACCTAGAGAGGGGAGCTGGCAGAGCCAGGCCACAAACCCTGGCCTCTTTGGCTCCAGATCCAAGATTTTTCCCACTGAGCTAGTCATGGAGCCTTCGGGCACTTGGTCCTTTCTAGCCCAGGACTCAGCCCTTCCATTAACCCTTGCCAGTGGAGGACCCATGGGGTCAGGTTGAAAGTGTCTTGCTTTGCTTTGGGGTCTCCATTCCCTGTGCTCCACTCTTGGCCACAGGGAGGGGAAACCGCACCACGGTTCACCAGGAACAGTGAAACAGCCACAAACACTGGACCAGTCTCCAGAGTTGCTCACCATGCATATGCCTGTGTTGGTTTATTTGCTCATCTTTCACCACCCGAGTTGGCCTGACTCAATGCAGCCAGCCTTCCAGGGCAAAGGGCTCTGAGGTTAGGAGGAGGGCCCCTCACCAAAAGAGGCAGTTCATTTTCAAATGGCTTGGTTTACAATTTGGAGAGCAACAAGTGGGGGCCCGGCCTGGCACAGATAGGGTCCACACATGATGAGCAAAGACCTGCTCCCCAGGTCTTGATTGAGTTCTGTAAATGGGCAAGAAATCTATGGGCTTTGGAGCCAATCAAGGCGAATGAGAGTCACGCTGCCTCTGCTCATGGGCCGTGTGCGTGTCTCCTCAATAGCCCAACCACCCTGGAAGCTCTAACCAACTTCTTCTCGGCGTTTGAGTATTGAGCAAATGCCGCTCCTCCAGGACATGCATGGGCTAGGACAGCTGAATCCAAATATCATGCCACCCAAACACTGGAACCAAAATAACAGCACAGACCAAAAAATTTTGAAAAGAAACAACAGGCAAGATTATTTCGAGCCCATCTTGGATCTTTTTGTCAATTTGGTTAGCTAAGTCCATGTCATTTCTTTTTTTGTAAGTTACTTATTTTCTGAGGATGTGCATATATGGAGCTGGTATTTCTTACACTGGATCTGCTTTTGAATTTCCAAATTCCAAAAGAGAATGCCAAAAAATGTGACACAAGGCCATCCGTTTCAAGTTTTGGAAGTAGGAATAACTTGAGGATGGCAACTTTGATGCCTTGTCCTCACAATGTTTTGGGTTTCTGTTTTTAAACGTTCTCAGATCATTTCCTTATCTCACATGGTATAATATCCTCACAACAACCCTGTGAGTCAGGCAAGAATTATTAAACTCACTTTAGACATAAGGCAAATGAGCTGATGAGAGATTAAGAAACTTGCCCAAGGTCATGGGAATGAATAGAATTCAGCTCTTCCTACTCCAGGTTCACATGTGAATGTGAAACTGAGAAATTGATTTTATCACAGAACATCCAGTGGGAGCCTTAACTTAGCTATTAAACTCCCACGGCCAGCAAGAGTAGCGACTCTTAGGGCAGGTGTTGGGACACCTAATATCAAAAAATCCTGGTGCCCAGCTGGTGGAGTTCCTTCATATTAAGTCCTAAGGACTTTTTTCCTTTAATTTTATCAAATGGAATAAAGGGAAACTAGGATACTTTCCCCATTTCTCCTACCCAATCTGGAAAGAAAGGACTGGTGCAGTCACACCAGGATTTCTTGCTGTGTGGCGCTCTGCGCACTGGCTGGAATCTCTGACAAGGAAACGTAGCTATCCCAACTTTGCATGACATCAAATCAATACCGACTTACTGAAATGCTGGGTGGGGCACAAAGTGGGGAGCAGGGGGGCAGCTCAGCCAAGGAAAGTGGGGCAGCCTAAGCCTTCCATCTCTTCTGCTGCTCAGTTGCAGAGCAAAAAGGAAAGAAAGAGAGAGCGCAAGAGAGAGAGAGACAGAGAGGGAGAACAGGAACAGAGAAAGCCACAGAGAGGAAGAAAGAGAAACCAGAGACCAATGTCCCCTTTCTGCCTTTCAACCAAGATGAATATATACATTTGTTGGCAACAGCACTTGACCTCAAAATTATTGTGACCAAAATGACAGTGATAAGAGTCTTCCCTAGACAGCCCAATACACATGGGTGTCAATGTCCAAAATGGCAGCAACACTGCAGTTCAGCGGTGCTCAGGCTTTCGAAGGCTGTGCGTGGGTGTGCCTTGGGTTGTATCTGTTTGGACAGAAATCTCCAGTGATTTCGTCTCTAATCCAGACCACAGGGGCAAATAAACCTGGGTTAGGGAAGCCAATCTTTACTTTGAATAACCATAATCAAACCTTACCCTTGCATCTGGCTTTGACATTTACCATAAATTTTTCAAATGCATTATTGCGTCTGTTCAGCCTAAATTACAAGATTATTATGAATTTGGGCTATTATAAGACAAAATTCTTAAGTATGAGAAAAATATAACATATTGCAGCCCATGTTCAAAAACTGGTCCATCTATACAAGGCCAGCAGTGACTTGGCTGAGGGGACCTGCTCAAATGATCATCCACAATGACACTGACCTTGGCAGGACACTATGGAAGATACAGAGAGTCTCAGTACAGAAACATCTCACCCGGGGCCTTTCAGATGAACTTTAAAACCATTACCAAGTTGACAATTTATTGCACAACAAGTTAAAAATGATTTGTGGAAGTGAGGGGAAGCTTTTAGTTTAATAACAAAGCTGACTTTGACCGTGGCCAGAACGCAGATGGCTGGGTTTTCAATTTAATGCAATGTGTCTAAGTGGGAGGTCTGGTCATCCTAACTTAGATTTCCCAGGCCCTAAGTCAAAGACAGTATGGAAGACAACATCTCAGTGGGCTTTATTAAAAAAACAAACAAACAAAACACCCTCAACTTTTCTCTGAGGTGGACCCTGGGACCTGGCCAAGGACTGATTACAGCTCTCTCCTACAACCTGCTGGAATCTTCTCCCACATAAATTCTAGGAATGAATAGGAAGTGAGGGACAGCTCAGTTCATCCTCCATCTGTTTCACCGTTTGCAAATGTGGGTGTAAAATGTGGCTTCTATTGTTTTGGGACTATGATAACACTCTCTTGCAAGAATAAATAAATAAGGGAGTTTGTTCCTAAAAGGTTCTTAAAAAGTGACCCTGCACATCTGACCCACGTGCCAGAGGTCCTGCCTGGCATTTCGAATCATCCTGATGTTCCTAGACTTCCGGGCCTGGAGGAACAGCTGCACAGGCTAAGCTTCTGGAGAGCCCTCGGTCTCCACCATCCTGGGCCTGGCAAACTGAAAACCCCCGAGCTTTCCAAGCCTCTTCCCAGCCAACTCCCTTCCAGATGAGAGAGTTCAGGGTCCATCCTCCCTCTTGCCAAGTGTGACAGCCTCCAGGATTCTGGGTCACGGGGAAGCATGTGTGGGAAAAGGATATCATCAGGTTGCTGGGCCCAGGATGAGGCAAAGGTAGCTCTCAGGTCACCTGATGGAAAAGTGCGGGTCATGGCTGAATTCATGATGGGCAGGAGGACAGCCAGTGCTGGGAACGCGGAAACAGATGGGCTCTAAGGAAAAACCTGGGCAATGACAGGCCTGCGTATGGATGTAAACTCTCTGACAGGAGAGGAAAGGTCCGGTCGCTGAGGTCAGCTGTCAGCTACCAGCTGCTGAGTGGAAAGTGTTCACTGGCTCTGGTCTGCTCGGGGAAAAGCGCAAAGGGTAATGTTGAGCAAGCTAGAGAGAAAGCAGAGTGGCCTGTTTGTTATTTTCCCAACAAGGGACTCCCCATCCAAGTGCGGGTGAGGTCCAAAGCCAGGGTGCGGGCACTAGGGGCATCTGCACACGCTTATGTGGGTATGCGCATGCATATGCCCAGCTGTGTGCAATTTCAGCCAAATCCAAAGCCTTGACACATGGGGACCCTACGCTGGGCCCCCACCTCAGCTGGACAGTTTGCTCAGCAGCCATGTAACAGATGGGAAGACAAGTCAACAACTACCCCACAGCCTAAGGTCTCTACTGGTTGCCCTCAGCCACTGCAACATAGATTGCTGTCCCACTTGGTAGACCGTGCAGTCAAGGTGGGGGGAATACCCCACTGACCCACAGCAGCTCAGAGAGCCCCCTCCCCATCACCAACCTGGAGGGGGCATGGTTTCGGTCAGGCTAGAACCAGCAGAGCATCCATAAAGACACTATCCCCTCAGGACATGGTGAAGAGCTGTCTCACTCTAAGAAGACTCCAGCTCGTCTGGGCTCTCAGCAGTGTCTTTTCCTCCCTCTTCTCCTCTCCTGCTCCTCCCACCTCCTCCCACCCCCCACCTTAGGGCACCGGGTGAGAGAAAACGAGATGTGAGTTCTTACCTGGTTGTGCCACATTCTGCTCTCTCCCCTGGAAAGAAAAGTATATATTGATGTTTAGTTGTTTTTTAACCAGAGAACATTCATCCTTCCCTAAAAACAAAACGCAACTGATCTTAATTAGCTGTGACATGAAGAACCAAATCATGCCTAAGGTACGGTCTGTCGGAAAGAATCGCCTCTTATCAAATCCCGAGTGCCTCCGATTCGTAGGGATATGTTCATACACATTTCAGTTTTTATTGTTCACATACATTTTTTTTCAGTGATTCTCTCTCTCTTTTTTTAATCCTCACCGAGGATATTTTTTCCATCTATCTTCAGATAGAGTGGGAAGAGCGAGGGTGGGGAGAGAAACATTGACGTGAGAGAGACACATCGATTGGTTGCCTCCTGCACAACCCCGACCAGGACCGAGGACAAACCACAACCAAGATATGTGCCCTTGGCCGGAATCGAACCCATGACTCTCTGGTCCATGGTCTGATGCTCTAACCACTGAGCCAAATCGGCCAGGGCTCAACGATTCTCAAAACAGCCTGATGACCGTCTACATCAGAATCATCTGGGACCTTGGTTAAAAATGCAGATTTCGGGACTCTCCTATGGGGCTCCTCAGTCAGCATCTCTGAGATAAGAACCCAGGAATCCACATTTTAACAAGCTCCCCTGGTGATTCCGTCTGTGCATGCCAAAGCCTGATGACTATGCATTGCTTTATATCAACACAGCTTTATTGGCGCTGAAGTGTACCAGCCACAAGATACCTTCCTGTGGTTCCTCACCCTTCCGCCCTGCTCCCTTCTTTCACGGCTAAGGACCTGCTCACTTCCTTCAGTGGAAAAGGAAAATCAGTAAGAGGGGGTCTTGGTGTTGCCTCCAGAGCGCCACCCACCCGCCTGCATGCACCTACTCACCTTCTACTTGCTGATACTCCCTACTTCTGCCAGAGCCCAGGCCTCTTCCTTGCGCTCTGGGTCTCATCCCTCTACTGTTCCCAGGAACTCTGTTCCCACAAATGTCTCCCCTCTCTCTAGTAGCATCACCAACCTCCTCTCTTCTGGATCCTTCCATCAGCATGCAAGCAAGCATGCTCTGGATAAGTATATGCTAGCTAGTTCTCCCTGCAACTACACCCCCATTTCTCCACTCTCCTTGACCTCCCCGAAGGAGGAGTCCGGAGGCACTGTCCTTCCTCCCCTCGTGCCTCTGCAGTTGGCTTCTGTCCTCACCACTTCAAGGCGCTGGCTCTGTGGGGCTGAATCCAATGTCTTCTCTGCTCTCACTTGACTTTTCGGCGCCATTCAACTTGTCCCATTGCTCCCCTCTGCTTATAAAGATTTCTCCTCTTGCTTTTCATGACTCCACACTCCCCAGGTGTCCTTCCTGCCCTACAGGCTGTTCCTCAGTTTCTCTTACTGTCACCTCCTCATCTGCCCACCTCTAACCTCTAAATGTCGGACTGCCCCCAGGATGCGCACCCGGGCCCCGTCCTCTTCTCTTTCTGTGCACCCTTTCTAGGTGATCGCAGATGCTTACTGAGGGCTCCCTAATCTTACCTCCAGATCCCGTAGCTCCCTGGAATTTCAGATTGCCCCTGTTCGATTCGGAATTGTTTTACTGAGGTAGAATTTATATATCATAAAACTCACCCACTTGAAATGTAAAATTCAATCATTTTTATTACCATTCGAAGTTGTGCAATCGTCACCTCCAATTCCACGCAGAGCATTCCCATCACATAAGAAAGACCCCTTGCGCCAATTTACAGTCACTCCCGGGTCTTACCTCCCGCCCCTGGAAACCACTAATCCACCCTCTGTCTCTATAGACCTGCTCATTCTGGACACTTCCTATGAACAGAATCATGAAATATACGGCCTTCTGCGTTTGTCTCCTGTCACTTAGCCCAAAGCTTCTGAAGTTCTTCCACAGAGCATGACTCAGCACTTTGCTCCTTGCAGGGAGCAGCAGCGGCCTCTGGACAGTGCTGCCCAGTGGACATACAAGGCCAGTCATAATTTCTAGAAGCCACATTACAAAAAAGTAAACAGAAACAGGTGAGATTAATTTAATAACAAATCAACACACAGGCCCTTCATTCCTGCCCGAAGCCACAAACAGTTACAAGAGTGACTGACGTTGGTTGAATTGGAGCCAAAGACCAAAGTAGAAAAGTTACATAAAACAAATTTGTTCTGCTTAATTTGACTGTGTGCCTGGGATCTGGGGCAAATTCCCACCAGACACCAAACTGAAGTAAATTTGCATGTGGGCCCAAGACCCTGAGTGGGAGCTGATGGCAACTAATGAAAGGGGCGAGACGGTGGCCTGTGTGGACTGTGAGGCATCAGTCCTCAGGGTTGCATCAGCTGTGTGGCTCGAACTCACAAAGGGGACCGAGGAGGAGTTTCTTGTTCCACCTCCTCTGGGTGCCAAGTTGGCCCTCCCTCCTGACCCTCCCTTCCTGTATTCACGAGGGTCCAGTCACACTGCCCTTCTTTCGGCTCTGACCTGGAACATTCCTTCCCACCATTGCACGGGCCGTGCCCTCTGCCCCAGCCCGCTCTCCCCAGTTCTCCATGTGGCTGATGCCGCCTTCTCCACTGCTATCAGCTTAAACAGCACCTCCCCTTTGAGGCCTCTCTGATCACCAACCTAAAGCAGGTCACCCCATTGTCGCTCCCTCCCACACACACACACTTGTTCTCTATCTCAGCCCGAATTTTCCATTCATGCCACTTACCACAGTCATAATTCTTTACTTAATAGTTTGTTTACTGTTTGAGGTCTCTCTTTCCCGTAAGGGCACGGACCTTGTCTGTCTTGTATACATGGAGGATGGACACATGAATGGACAGACAGGGCGGGGGAAGAAGTGGGGAGGTAGGAATCAAAGGTTTGGGTCCTCAGTGGAATGCCAGTACACTCAAGACAGCCCCCCTCTGGCAAGGACCCGAATATACTCCTGCAGCTTGAGACCATGTTCCAGCTCTCGCGAACCCCATCACCAACATCTTTTGGAATCTGGTGTCTCAACTTCTAACAAATATCAGAAATAAAAAATGGCCTGCCCTTTACCTTTGAAGACTTGTTGAGATTTTAAAAATATATATTTTACAGTTGGTGGCTCGGCTATTTTCTAGGTTAGACTGTCTGGTCCTGGTGGACACCGTGCTGTGTAATGGGCTATTAAATCTTGGCCTGAAAGGTTATGTCCTGTCTCTTTTATAGACGAGGCACCATTCATCCTTGAGGGGCTTTAGTGAACTGAAAGCCACCTGTGTCTTGGGTGTAAGCCCTGGAGCACACATGCTACGCAGGGCCATTAAAAGGTCAAACATCTAAGACTAGGATGATAAACTAAGAATTCTCTGGCCAGTAAAACAACATAGCAACGTCCACAGGCACATAAGGGTGGATGTTCTTGTTCCCAAGAGGTGGCAGTGCTATTATTTGTAACAAGGAATGCCCATTTGTGGGGCACATAGAAGGTTTCTCACTCATGTGTCCAGGATCAATCACGTTAAAACATTCACTTCTAGTGGAGGTGATTCAGAAGACTCTGTGTTTCCTCAACTCATGGCTTCTTTCAGCCATGTGGGCAAGGCATTCAACATGACACTTCATTTCATTTTTTAAAAAAACCCCACACACTTGTAACTTTTCAGTCAAGTATTCCACTTGGCCTCACATTTCTCCCCCGTTTTCAAAATTTCTAGATTGTTCCCCCCCATACAAAATAGCTCTCAGATGAAATAAGAAGGCCACTGATGCAGGCATAACCCCGCCCTGGCCCCACTCTTAGAAGAGCTTCTACTGAATGGAAGTCAATGCTCCCGGCCACTGACACGTGGAGAATTAAGCAGCCAACATTCTGAGCTCTTCAGTCTCCTTATTCCATGCCTCCCCTTGCCCAATGGGCAAGAACTTGATCAATCTAAGTCGGTGCAAATTCTCCTGCTTGAAAATTCTCCCTTTTCACCCGATGCCCTAAGAATCCACATATGCCTTTATCATGCTGTGAACAACAACAAGATTTGGTCTCAGCGTCAGTATTTTCGGTAATTCTGTAACTTATTAACTTTAGTTAATAATAATGTATCAATATTCATTAATTGTGACAAATACACCGTACTAATGTAAGACGTGAATAATAGGGGCACTTGGACATGGAGTACACGGGAGCTCTGGGCTACCTTTGCAACTTTCTGTAAAACTAAAACTAGTCTAAAACAAAAACTGTATTCAAACATCCCCATTCCAGTTATCAAAAGGAACACCGCGGGCTTCCCATGCCGGCTCAGAAAATAGGACCACAGCAAGTCTTCTCGAGAGCTCCTTCTTAGATGCCCTTGTGCTTCTGAAGCTGCATTTTCCTGTAGCTTTTTGTTGCTATTCAGCTCAAAACTCAGAAGGACTGGAAATTCACATCTCAGAGCAAGGTGTGGCGGAGGGCTAAGTAAGCTTACAAGACAAAATGGGTCAGAAGTCATGCCAACTAAAACTGTTATTGTTATTATTTCATGAAGGCTGTTCAGGCCAGGGCAGTAATAAAAGGTTGTACCTGAGGAGCACTTAAGGGGAGCTGGAGAGAAGCACTTTCTCATCTGGGATCTTATTTTTTCAAAGAACATCTAGTTTTCTAAGTCTAAGACATCTGATTTCAAAAATATAAGTAGCCACCAACTCACATGTTACACAGCGTGAGAAACAGCCCCAGCCCTCAGCCCTCAGCCCCATGACCATAAAAACCGATCCTCTTTCATGCCAGTCGGGGAAGCTGCCCCATCACACACTCGTCAACGTCCTCTCTAGGACTTTCTGTCTCTTCTCTGTCACTCCACTCCGGCTGTTGTGTTTCCCTCTTTGTCACCCACACTCCTCAATGGTCCCACTCACCTGGCCCAATACTGAAGTGTCGGGATGGGCAGGATGTAGAGGGGAGGGAGGAAATGAAGAAAAGGCTATTGGAACTCACTCTTCCTCACCCTTACCCCCAGCCAATGAGTCTTGACAAATATATATACCCATTTATAACCATCACCCAAATCAGGACATAGAACATTTCCATCACCCCCAAAATTCCCCAGCTCTCACCAGATGGCACACACAAAACTCATCCATGATGACAGGAATCAGTTCAGTGGTTGCTTGGGGTACAGGACAGGGATGGGGTGGGGGAGGGATTGACCGCAAAAAGGCACAAGGGAACTTTTGGGTCGCTGGGTGTATATGTTCATCAAAACTGATTTCTACACATAAAATGGGTGTCTCTTACTGTGTCCACGTTACATGTCTATACAGTTGACTGAAAGCTTTGCAGTGGTATCAGTTGTAACGCCCTAGTTATTCCTCTTCCCTGCAGCATCTGCAGCTCTCCTGACACAGCCCTCAGAGTCGGCGCTGTTCACTTGGCCATGTAGCCAGTGTTTCTGCGTAACAATTGTATCGCTATTTCGTTTTTTATAAATTCATGAGTTGTCTCCCAGCTAGATTATAAGTACCTTGGGGCTGGGGAGTGGTTTAATTTCTCACCCTTTCCTCTAAAGCATGGGGCTCACAAATGCCAAGCGTCCACAGATCCAGCAGCCCACTTGATGTTGCTGAGTGGGTGTTAGGGAGGCCTCGCGTGGCCAGAGCACAGCCGGTGGGATGTGCACCCACAGGGAGAAGCGAGTGATCCAGTGAAGGGCAAGGACACGCGGTGGATGGCAAACACCCGACAGCCAACGAACGCCAACCCTGCACCCCGGCACAGCTCTCATCTTGTAATGCTCTCCCTGCGACGCCAGCCAAAGTCCCGGGTGACGTCGAGGCCTGCTTTAAGCCGTCATCTCGGGATCTGGCATCGTCACCTTGAAAACTCCCTTCATCAGATAATAAGTAGGATGATTTCCCATAACGATGAGCGAGATGAAGAAAATCAAACAGAATGTTGGGACAGAGGTGGTGATTCCTTGAGGATGGGTGACAAAGAGATTCTCACTGAAGACATGATATCTGTGCTGACAACTGAAGGATAAGGAACCATCCATACTGAGATCTGGGCTGAGGGTATCCCCCCCCGCAGGGGGGAAAGCATATGCGAAGGCCCTGGGGCAGGAATAAATTCAATGAGTTTTGAAGGGCAGAAAGGAGCTAAGTGTGGCTGGAGAGCAGTAAGGGAGCAGAGAATGGCAGAGGTCAGGGAAGCAGGCAGAGGTCAAATGACATAAGGCCTCATACACCACAAGAGCAGTTGGGCTTTCATTCCTACTGTCATTGGAAACCTCTCGGTAGTTAGTTCCTCAGGTCTCTCAAAGACCAAACCCCGCCTTATACATATGGATTTTTCTTCTTTGGACTTAGAACCCTGGACACTCCAATAGTATGCCTGGCAGAGAGAATCTGCTGAAAAGTATTAATGCAGACGCCCATCTCTCTGAATTCCCACTCCCTTCCTATGGAGGGCCCCTTTATCACTTTGCCTTACACCCTCCCCCACAGCCTAAACCAAAACCTGCATTTGCCCCCTATTTTCCACAGCCAGACTGGACCTCTCTCAGTATCTGTACCAGGGCTATAGACTATAAACTATAGCAGCCTACCCAGTCCTGGGAGGTGGCCCCAATACCAGGCCTCATTCTGCCGAGGGCCCAGGGTCTCCAGCTGACACAGCTCAAGGGACCACAACAGAACCCAGCAGGGAAGACAGCCCCTCCTCACAGGCCTCTGCCCGACTCACCTTCGCCCAGGGTCTGCTTGAGTAAGTCGTGCTTGGCCTGCAGCTTAGTGATGAGGTTACTGCCGTTCACATATTCTTTAAATTTCTGTAAGACACAAGGCATAAGGACATTACAGATTGCAAGGCCAAGTCCCTCCGATTCTGCTCTGGAAGGGCCCTCTGGGGCAGAGAGGTCAAAGGGAGACCACGTTCCCCCAAAAGACCCCAGCATGGGGCAACGAGGGCCCTCGGCTGCTGTGCGCTCCTCCCTCAGCTCCCCAGCGCTGCCCAGCTCCATGAGGGCTCCAGGCATTTCAGGTCAGTTCTGGGAACACGAGGAAAGTTCGGGGGGAATGGGAGCAGTGAAAGGCGCTTTTGTCAGGTGAGGCCTGTGAGCTCTGAGCAGGGGGCTTCTTCAGTCTTCAGAGCTCCACTGTGCTCCTGGGCCAGGAACAATAAGGACGGACAGTCCCCGGGGCACACAGCTGAGGCAAGGCCTTATCGCATCTGTCAGAGGAGCTGCCAACAAGTCTTTCTTTTATCGCCCCACTCCGAAGGAGGAAGGGCCCTGCAGGCCCCTAGAGAGGGTCTTGTTAAAATAATCCCAACTGCCCTGGCCAGTTTGGCTCAGCGGTTAGAGCGTCGGCCCGCGGTCCGGAGAGACCCGGGTTCGGTTCCCGCTAAGAGCACGTACCTCAGTTGCAGTTTGTCCCCGGCCCTGGTTGGGTTGTGTGGGTGGCAACCACTCGATGTGTCCCTTTCACGTCGATGTTTCTCTCTCTCTCTCTCCCCCTCCCACTCTATCTGAACAAAATATCAAAAAATGTCTTTGGGTAAGGATAAAAAGAAAATAATAATCCCAACTACATTGGGGGATATGTTTTCCTTTTACAGAGGAGACAGGTGAGGCCGGCACAGGAAAGCAATGTGCCCGAGGTCCCTGGGACCTCCGGCCTGTCTCTAACTCAGGAGCCTGGCCCAGCACAATGCACTCTGAGCAGCGGAGAGGGACAGGGGCCACCCAGACTGGAAATGCATCTACCTGTCCCCAGTTCAGCAGGGCCTCAGCCCAGCCACACCTCTGCATAGGTGGCAGCTTTCCTCCCCTGCCACCCCACATCACCCAAACTCACGGCAGGAGCCCTCTCTGCTGGGGCATGCCTTTGCTGGGCCATGAGTCACTGGAGATGCGGTCCACACCCAGCTCAGTGCTGCTATGTGCCTGGTGTATAGTAGCTGCTCAGAGATGAGCTAAATCCCTGACTTGGAGCTGACGCAGCAGAGTGAGGAGATCAACAATAAGCTAACCCCAAAAAGTAAGTAAAATACACGACCGGTCAGATGGCGAGGGATGCCATGAATGCAAGTAAGGCAGACCTGGAGGGCTGGGAGGCAGGCAGACCCCGCTGCAGAGCTGACAGGGAGCCAAGGCCTGCAGGAAGGGAGGGAGGGGCCGTGCAGGTACCTGGGGAGGGAGCAATTGCAAACGCCTCAAGAATGAAGGCACAGGGGTGACTGTGAATGACCCAAATATACCATTTAGTTTCTCACAAAGAAACCCATTCTCTTGCCCCAGGCAGAGCGGTTAGAAAGAGGGCAGAGGAGCAGGGAAATGAGCCACGGAGGCTCGGGACACCCCAGTACGACCTGTAAAGGAGCTTCTGGAACATCACCACCTGCCTGTGAACATGTTGCAGGGGCAGCAAGGCCATGGGGTAGCTGATGTGTGCACGGGTAAGACTGCGTCACCTGACCCTGCTCCCACCTCCGTGGGTTTCTGCTGTGGAAGTCTAAGGTGTCCCTCACCTCGGCCATGGTCCGTCTTAGCTCCTAGGACCTTGTCCCTTGGTCGTTAAGAATCATTACCCCTTGTATCTATAGAGCACTTGGCAGGTTCAAATACATCCATTTGGTCCTCACCAGTCTTGGATTGCAAATGGGTGGAGCAGCATCGTTTCCATTCCACCCAGGAGGAGGCCGAAACTCAGAGCCATGGCCGCTCAGTGTATGACCTTGGGCAGACCATTGAATATGTCTGGGCCTCCGTGGCCCCCTCAGGGTAAAATGAGAGCAGACTCACGTTATTGCCAAGTATGGTGCAGGGACCACAGCCTCCCACCCAGCTGCAGAGAGGGTCAAAACGCAGATTACTGCTTGGGAATACTGAGAGTCTAAGCCCTCATTTTATCCCCGAGGAGGACATCACAGAGGCCCAGAAGTGTTCACCTTTCCAGGGCTCCACCTCGGGGAGGGTGGTAGTCTGGGAACCTACATTTTGAACAAACTTCCCATATGACTCAAATGCACACTTCGGTTTAATAACTGCCATCCTAGAGGCTCTCTCTGAATGCTTGCAGTGGCAACGCCCCCGATTTTATCATGTGTTTAAGAATGCACCATAAAAAGCACAGCTGAGTGTAAGTAGGTGTTTTCTCTGCCATGCCTCACTGCCCCCGGCACTTGAAGCTCTAATCTCAAACACAGAACTCAAGCCTGGGTGGGTTATTACACCCTGGGGCTCTGGGGCCCGTGGACTCTGCCCACGTCCTCCAAGCTTTACCCAGGCTTCGCGTGTGACCCATGAAGGAATGAATGCCATCAAGCTGTACTGATGTCTGCATCCTTAAAAATACCCCAAATAATGTCACAACATCAAGTCACGAGGTGTGCTGGCCAAGCAGGTCGCTAAGTTGAATACCAACATGAAATATAACATCGGTGATCCTTGATCATGGGCGTTGGTGAATTCTATCTTTTCATTTCAAGCAGCCTGGACCCCCTTCTCTGTGTCTGACACCCAAATTTCTTTGCTTCTGCTGCCAGGGTGAATTAATACTCACATTCATTCCTCACTTATCTTTGCAACCTGCAAATCCCCTCTGCACACAGAGGGCGTCCTCAGAGGAAGAGGTGAACCCCAGAGACTGGCACTGGCTGATTCACTAAGACTAGCTGTGTTTTTTGTTTTGAGAACAATGAAGTCAAAGAGTGTCGCTCGAGGAAATGCAGTCCATGTCAACTCGGGGTTTCTGACAAGGGATCTGATAAGGGCTGTCACAAGAGAATGATAGAACAGGGTGAGGTTGTGACTGGTTAAATGACCACAATCTAAAAGTGCTGACTAGTGGATCAATGTTAGCCTAGTGCAAGCCACACGCACTGAACCCGCAGACCGCCCGAGGTCTGAAGAGACAGCTTACACGTTGAACAGCCAGAGCAGGATCTTGCCAGTCTGGAACCAGGGACTGAATCCACAAAGAGGCTCTCCAACTGGTAATAAACATAAGACCTGCGCAAGGCGTTATCTACACATCCTTCAGGAGGAGGGCAACCTCGTCAGTGCTTAGGGAATAGAGATTAACTGGTATTACTTAGCTTTATATGTGTATCTATAAAAGGAGTATGATCTCAGGACATACGGAAAGCAGCACAGCACCTTCTGTGGAAGGTGAGAGTTTGCTCTGTTTTGTGCTGGGCAGAGTCTCCCTTTGGAAGAGGCATCGACGACAGATGGAACATGTCCAGGAGAGAGTCACTGGGATACTGAGGCCCTCGAAAGGAAAGCTGATGAGGCAGGATTGAAAGAACCAGATATATTTAGCCTGGAGAAACAAACACCTGACTCCCTGCGACCGTGCCAAAGACCGCCCTGTAGAGCTCGCCTCTCGCTGGATCACTCGAGAGAGCAGAATCAAAATCCATGGCCAGAAATCCTAGTGAGGCAGATTTTTGAAGAGAGCAGAGATAAGGGAAAACATTATAATATCTACAGCCAGCCACAGGCCCAAGGAAAGGGCCGTTGGGGCAGGAGGGAGCGTTCCATCTTAGGGCTGCAGGGCTTTTTGACAGGGACACGGTTGAATGGATCAAACATCAGATGGAGGACTCAGGGTCCCTCAGAACCCCAAATTCTATGTTCACTAGGCATAGATGGAACTAAGCCCCGAGGCCCCTTATCCTGTTCCTTCCTGTCCCTGGGCACGTGGAATGTTAGCCAGCTGCGGTTTTACATGGAGGGCTGGTAACTCACCAGCAATTTGTACGGATTATACAGGGCACTGTTTCCAAAGCCCGTACCCCAATTTAAGACAATGCAACACAACAGCCACCCACTGAACTTTCGGGCTCTTACGTGGGGCTTACACCGGCTCCATTCCATTTCCCTCTCACCCTGCTGAACACACTCCGGTTTTTCTCAGGACAGGACAGTTGCCATAACTGTCTGATGCCAAGTTGCCAAGACCAATGCTGAAACTATGACTGGTAATTTCTTTTTTTTTTAAATCCTCACCTGAGAATATTTTTGTATTTATCTTCAGATAAAATGGGAGGGAGAGGGAGAGGGGTGGAGAGAGAGACAGACAGACAGACAGACAGACATCGATGTGAGAGGGACACATCAACTGGTTGCCTCCCCCATGACCCGGCCAGGGCCAGGGATGAACTGCAACTAAGGCACTTGCTCTTGACCTGAGATCTCAGGAACCGAACCTGAGATTCATTGGTCTGCGGGCCCACGCTCTAACCGCTGAGCCAAACTGGCCAGGGCAATGACTGGTCATTTCAATTTCTGCATTTCACAAAGCCAAGCTAGGCAACTTAACTTGAGAATCATGTTGGGAGAACTGTAGGTCTAACAGACCCACATGGTTTCATTGGCTCCCCCTGGCTTGGGCTGTTCCCAAAAAGTCAATGCCGGCAGGTTAGCAGACAGTGGGCTCTGGGTCCACTTACTGTAAAGTAAAACATTTCTGTTTCCTGCTGGTTGGCTCTCCTTTTGGCGATGTTGATCTTGCTCATGTAGGTCTCAGAGGCGGCAGATTTGACGGACTCTGTGGACCGACTGTGTTGGAAGGCGTCGGAGACATCAAAGTCTTCCACAGTCAGCATGTCCTGCAAGGTCTGCATGGTGGCATCCAGGGTTTTTCTCACCTGGGAAAACATGTCGACAAAAATCCTTTAGCCTCAGAATGCCTTTGACACCCCAAAGTCCTTTTTCTAACCAATACTTCATTTCTTCCCCACGAAACCTCTAGGAGGCAGGCTGGACAAACCTGACCGCTCCTATGATACTGATGTACAAAGTGAGGCCAGTTAGCTGGCTGGCTGAGACCCCGGGCTGTCCGATCTCGAGTCATTTCATTGCATTGCTGTGGCAGAGAGAACCTTGGAGAATACTGTGATGAACAAGGCACTCAGGTTCCCAGGTTCGTTTCTCTTTACCTAGTTACATAGCCCCAACTAGCTCCTCTGATGGGAGGCAAGTCCCTTGACGAGGGACAACTCTAGAAATACTCTTGGTTCTCTTCAGGGTGGGGACGAAGCCTGGATAAAGTGAGCGGCCGTCCTCAATGAATGAGCTCGGCAGCTACTGCCACCTGAGTCCTATCAAACGCCTGACAGAAATGAGAAGCTCGAGGAAGACAGATGCCGAGACACCACTGTCTAGTCATTTCTCCAGGATTCTGACTTCCGTGTTGGGACTGAGTGGGGCCCCTGGAAGGCTACACATGCAGGGCACACCCCCCACCCCCCACATCACAGCATCCCTTCGCTGACCTGTGCCTACATGGCAAACCCATACTTGGATGGAACGTCATTCCAAAAACAGTTTCAGGAGAAACTGCACCTACATTCCTCGTTACATTACTGTTGCTCGGGCGGGGGGGCGGGGGGTAAACCACAGAACTTATATGCATGTATGCATAACTGATGGACACGGACAACAAAGCCGGGGGTGGGGTTGGGTGGATGGGGAGGAGGGTATCAATGGGGAAAAAGAGGAGAAACACCTATAAAATAAAATAATAAAAAAAATTACTGTTGCTCAAAGTCTCTTTCTTATCACTCAGGTCTCAACTTAAATGTCACCTTCTGGTGACATCAGGCTCCCCTGACTTCAGTTTTTAACTTAATGCCTATCTCTGTCTAGTACTCTGCATACTCATCCATTGGTTTGCTTTTGTGTTTTGATTATTATCGCTTTTCTCACAAGAACATAAACTCCATGAGAGGAGGTACTATGGTATCTTGCTCACTCACTTTACTCTGCATTTAGCACAGAGTATATGCTGAAGAAATACCTGAATAAGTATCTGTTGAATAAATGCTTGTTGAATGAATAAATGCATGAATCAGCTCTTTCTAACATAAGCCTGATAGAAGCTCAGGTCCCAAATCAAGACTATCTATGACCATGAAAAGCCTCTACAGAGGAACTTGCTTCATTCTTCTTATGGCCCCGATTTCCAATTAAAATTCCATGAATATTATCCATATACTGTTCCACATAAACAATTTAAAATGCTTTGGGGGAAAATATAGGACAGGAATAAATAAAAAAAACATTCTATTCACCTGTCTCTTCTCAGCTTTGGAAAAAATATATATAATTTGTCTCCCCATAACCTCCCCCAGGGACTGCTTGAATCCATCATTATCCTGAGTGACATTCTGTCTCATGTTCGCCCTAGCTCTGTCCTTTGTGGAGACACAGAGTGAACCAGCCCTGTCTGCCTAAGACAGCCCTCTCGAGATGTGAAGACAGGAACATGGCTCCCCATCTCCTGCTGTAAATGCACTTCTCTGGTCTTTTTTTTTTTCCATCCTCACTCGAGGACATTTTTGCATTTCAGATAGAGCGGGGTGGGGGTGGGGGCACATCAATGTGAGACAGAAACATCGACTGGCTGCCATCCACATAACCCCAACCGGGGCTGGGGACAAACTGCAACCAGGGTACGTGCCCTTAGCGGGAACCGAACCTGGGACTCTCTGGTCCACGGGCCGACGCTCTCGAACCGCTGAGCCAAACTGGCCAGGGCTGAATGCACTTCTCAATGATAAACCTGCCCATGATCACGGGTGGCACTCCCCACATCCTGGTGTCCACCTCCCTGCCCAGAGGCATCAAGGCTGGTGGCTCATCAGTCCACACCAGAATGGAGCGACCAGACCTGGGATTTCCATTTGTCCCCTCCCTGCGGGAATCCTGTGTCACCAGCTTGCTTGAGAGGGATGCTAGCAATGATAAGACAGACGTTCCTTAGAGTTCAGAATCCATGACACATTTAGTGTGCCTGGGGTTATTTAATTATATAAATTAAAATACCTATTATACTTTCTGATGATAAAAATAACATAAGCTCATTACAGAAAATAGAGAAAAGCACAAAGACGAAAACAGAAATCACCTATAATCCATAACCCAGACATAACCATCATTAACATTTTGAAGTATTTCCTTCCCGTCCTGTTTCTGTGCCTGTGATACACAGAGCTACATGTGCATGTACTCTAGTTTACCCTAGTTAGCGTAACACTGAACATACAGTTTTACTTCCTCTTTTGTTTCTTTAACTCAACATCTTGTGAGCATTCCCCGACCATGCAAGATCCCTGGTGTGCATGGTTTCAATGGCTGTGCAATAGTCCACCTTACCGATGAACCTGCCTGTCCTGTGTGTCCGCCCCAGGACAAGCTAGGCCTTTGTGAGGAAATCAATCCCTTACAGGGCAGAGGGGCTCACTCACCTCCTCGTTCTCTATTTTGAGAGTGGCCAGTCTGGACTGCAGCTGGTGGTACCGCATGAGCAGCTCGGTCTGGACGGGCTGCTGCGCGCTGACCTGGCACACCTGTGGAAACAACAGCCCACCTGCGGTTGCCCAGTGTCCTCGCCGCCCATGTGGGGTTAGGGCAGGAGCGCTCCCATCACTAATCTCCCTGTCAAAAGCTGAGGAAACAGGCGTGGAGAGCTCAATGACCTGCCAAAGGTGACACGGACAGGAACCAGGGCCACCCTCCTGAACTGCGAAGTGGGGCCTCTCGGTCACGGTCTTCCACACTGTGCCCTCTTGAGGGTTTACTAAGAGCCCTGACATAGCTCATCAAGTGAGACGACTTAGTTCATTTCCAGGCAGGAAGCTGCAGTAAGAAAGTAACCCCCTAAGAGAAGCCAATGAAAAGAACAAAGAACAGAGAATGGCCAGCCGGGTGCTCCGACTCCCCAGCAGGAAGGTGCTTCGGAGAGGCGACTGCCTCTCATGGACCGTTTCCTCCAGCGGGATGACTGGGAGAGGTGGAGGAGGGGAGAGAGGTGGAGGAGGGGAGAGAGGTGGAGGAGGGGAGAGAGGTGGAGGAGGGGAGAGAGGTGGAGGAGGGGAGAGAGAGAGAAACACTGTCCTCCCTATATCCATTCCGCCCAGGGCTCTGTCACCACCTGTGGGCTGGGCTGCCTGGGGTGGCTCGGCTGAGAGCATAAGGGACAAGCAGGGCTCTGTTATTTACTAGTTATTTACCACTAACTAGGCACCCAAGTGGTCACCAGTGGTCACCATAAGGCAGAATTTTCAGGTCCTGATATAGGCCAAAAGGGCTGGGCATGAGGGCAGAGGGGAGGGGCAGGCGCTGCAGGAAGCCTTGCAGAGGCCTCTCTTTTGCAAATGAAGTGGGTAGAACCACCCGGAGGGCCCAGTAAATGCCATCTGCTAAGGATCCTTCTTGTCACTTCCTGCCAAGCAATTCAGTGGATGGCCCAGCTGAGCTCCCATGGGATCTAGCGGCTGGCAGGATCTTATACGCTATTGGCCTGGGTCCCCCTAACTCCCATGTGCATGGTGGGGTATGTCTCGGTGGAGGGACAGGGGCCACTAGGAGAAAGTGCTGTGCACAGGCCCTGGGGGAGAGATGATGGAGGTGGGGAGACAGACAGGCCATCTGCGGGCTCTCCTCCACCAGTTCCAAGGCTAGGGCCCCTAGAGGGGGGGAGGAATGAGACAGAAAGCTCAAGGAGCCATGTGCCTAAGGGATTTAGTGATACCTGAGTAACTAGTGTGCTGCTTTGGGGCCAGTGGCAAGTGCCTTATCCCGTTCCCCAGAATACAGCGCGGATCCGAGCAGCCTGAGCCCCGAAGGAAACTCAGTGGGTGGTGCGCCGCCTGCGTGGGAGGACGGGCAGTGCTCTGGTGAGGATGTTGGCCAGAGTGGCTGTGGTGAGCCCAGCCTCCTGTGACCCACGGAAAGAATGTATGCACGTGTGGGACCCTCTTGGGGTCCTCCAGACATAACTGGGAGGGGTTTTAAGGAACACTAATGTCCTGCAATTCTATAGGTGGAGAACTTGAGCCATCAAGGTTAAGGTATTAGTGGTAAACTCCTTGGCTGGGAAAGTTCCAGAACCAAGATCTTGACCCAGGCTTCTGAGATCAACATCCTGCACGTGGAACGGGGCTGGTGGTCCCCTCCCACGGGTGTTCTGGGAGCACATGGGAGCACAGACAGAAGCAGCCTCAGGCACGGGCTCCTGGGAGAAACCCACCTCATCCCCCATGTGGGGCTGGAACTCAAACTTGAGTGGAGGACAGAAGACCTGGTTGTACATGTCCATGACTGTGTGCTTGTCACTTCGGGAATCCAGGTTGTCCACCGCGTTCTCGATGACATCCAGCCCCTCGTGGCGAGAGGTCTCCAGGTTGTACTCGGCTGAGAGGTAGGTCCGGAAGGTGCGGGCCAGGCTGGCGTGAAAGCCCAAATCACAGCACTTGAAGACAGACACACGACAGAAGGGTGCGGGTGAGGGCCGTGATGTGAAGGGGACGACCACAAGCATTTCCTATCCCGTCGATTACCTCTCATTCCATAGTCAAAAGCTCTCACCCTGGGGGCCCTTGTGCATTCTGGAATCCCACCACAGAAATCACCAAAGCCTTCAGGGGACTTGTGCATTGAAATCTGCGCAACAGCAGAACTTCTCTCCGCTTCCCAGATCAACCACATTCTTTCTCGTCTCTAGGCCTTCCCACATGTATTCCCTCTGCCTGGCATACTCTTCCTTCTCTTCCTGCCTGAACACCCTTCCTTCAGGTTTTAGTTTAGGGGTCACTTCCTCCACGAAGTCTCCCTTGATGTTCTCCCCACTCAGAGTTTCTGTCAGATGTCCCTCCTCTAAGGACACCTTCCACGTGGCACTGCAATTGCCTGTTAACGTGTCAGGGTCACGCAGGGTAAGCTCCAGGAGGGCAGAACCACTGGTTTTGTCTACCGTGGCACCTCAAGACCCAGAGCTGACCAATAAAAATTGGGCAAATAAAAACAGGGAAGGATCGGAAGGAGTGAAAGGAAAGTTGTAAGAAAGAGGAGGGGTCTGGCCTCAGGCACTGGAAGGCAGAGGCAGGGCCCAGCAGATTCCTCTCCTGGGGATGGTGAAAAGGGTCCCTCCTGCAGCCTTCCTGACCAGATACACCAGGGGAGGAGGATCCATCCACCAGTATGGAATCCTTACTGAGCATCTACTGGAACAGATCCGTCTGCGGGGAGGGGAAGACACGAGAGACCGTCGCAGTTCCAGCACACACGACAGAGGCTCTCCCTGACAGCGCCGCTCACAGTGTTCTTTCCCCAGCACGCTGTCCCTCCAGCCTGTCCTTGCAGCTGGAACTCGGGAGTCTGTTCCATTCTCCTTTCACTTAAACCATCTGCTTTCTCCAACGACAACATCCCCAAGTAAAGCTGATCTGTGTACAGTGGACCCTGAACCACTCAGGTTTGAACTGTGAAGGTCCACTAATAACCATGGATTGAAGACTATTTTTGATCCAGGGATGGGAATCCATGCAGGCAGAAGGCCAACTACATGCATTGTTCTACACCATTGGATATAAGAGACTTGAGCATTGCAGATACCAAGGGATGACTATAGTTAAGTTTTGAAGCAGTTAAAAGTTATATGTGGCCCTGGCCGGTTTGGCTCAGCGGTTAGAGCGTCGGCCTGCGGTCCTGAGAGACCCGGGTTCGGTTCCCGCTAAGGGCGCGTACCTCGGTTGCAGTTTGTCCCCGGCCCTGGTCGGTTGTGCGGGTGGCAGCCACTTGATGTGTTCCTTTCACATCGATGTTTCTCTCTCTCTCTCTCTGTTCCTCTCTCTCCCTCCCACTCTACCTGAACAAAAAATGGAAAAATGTCCTCGGGTGAGGATTAAAAAAAAAAAAAATTATATGTGGATTTTTGACTGTGGGGGGAGATTGGCAACCCTAACCTCACATTGTTCAAGGATCAACTGTAATTCTCTCATTCACTCTCTTTTACGTGCATGTGTATGTCTAGCAGACTAGACCTGGGGGCACCGAACATGTCTGTACTGTCCTGAGAAATCCTTACGGCATGAACTCTGGACAACCACTCCTGTACCCCCAGACCCAGGCAAGGGCCTGGTGTAGAGGAGGGTACTTGGGAAGCGCACACTGAATATATAACTGTGACTGTGCAGGGTCTGCCGCAGGCCCACTCCCATCCACGGAAGTGGAAACTCATCTCCCAGGTCCCACATGCTCCCTGTCCTTCCCCTCCACCCTGGAATGTCCGCGAAGGACAGGGGCCAGCCCCTCCTTCAGCTGATGATTTGCACCAGCCCCGGTGCAGGTGCCTTTCAGTCCCACACTCCAGGTGCTCACATCAATCAGGTCGGAGACATCATGGATGTAGTATTTGCTTATAGCTGCGTTGGTGGCAGCCAGATTCAGCAAGTAGTCATTCCGGGCCTTCGTGCACTTCAGCTTGTTCTCAGAATACTTTGCCTGCCTCTGGAAGAAGAACAGAGTAGATTGAGCACTGAGCCATGGATGGCAGGGATCTGGGGCTTTATGGTCACTGACGGTGATTCAGTCCACCACACCCCTCTGGAATACCTTACTCCATATGCCAGCAGCACTATTTGATAAGCAGCAGCCTCTTCCTGGCCTCTACCCAAGCTGAGTCAGTAAGACCCCCCGAGGTCCCTCCTCAACAGCCCAAGACCTGCTGAGACCCCTCCCAGTGACTGCCCAAACTGTGACAATGGCCCCCTGCCTTGAGGCCTTCAGACCAATTGTTCCCCCTGCCTGGCTGGCCATCCTTCCTAGTCTCTGTGTGACCTGGTCCTTCATGTCACTTGGGGCCTTACCCAAGGTCACGTGGTCAGATTGGACTCTTAGGGCAACCTTGTCCAAAATGTGCTGCCAGCATCTCCACCATCCCTCCCTCCACTCTCTATCCCCTTGTCCTGTTCTATTTTTATTTATTTAATATGTATTCAACTTTTAGTGATCTCATTTTTATTTAATTTTTTAAGATGTTCTTTTAAGAGTAGTTTTTGGTCTACAAAATCAAGAGGATGGTACAGAGACTTCCACACGTCCCAGCCCCACATATGCACAACCTCACCCATTAACAACATCCCCCACGAGAATGGTACAGTCATTAATAATTATCTCCCGAGTCCACAGCTTAGCCCAGGGTTCCCTCTTGGTGTCGTAAGTCTATGGGTTTGGGCACTATTCTGGTATCATACAGAGTAGCTTCCCTGCCCTAAAAACCTGTTGTGCTCTGCCTTTCCATCCTTCCCTCCCTCCTGCCCCTGGCAAACTCCATCTTCTTATTTCCAGAATGTCATACAGTTGGAGGCATACAGTGTGCATCGTTTTCAAATAGGCTTCTTTCATTTATTCATATGCACTTGAAGGTTCCTCCAGTCTTTTCATGGCTTGCTAGCTCATTGCTTTTTAGATCTTGAATATTTAGCCAGTATTCCACTGTCTGGATTTACCACCGTTTATTTATCCATTCACCTACTGAAGGACATCTTGATTACTCTAGTTTTCTTCAAAAGCACTTTAACCACCCCAAATTATATTTTTGACTTCTTGTGTACTTGCTGATTTTCAATGTCCCCCACTAGAAAGTAGGCTCTGTGAAGTCAGGGACCTGATCTGCCTTGTTCATGGCTGGACCTATAGCACCCGGAACAGTCCCTGCACAGGAAGCCATTGAATGATTTTCACTGGTTGTCTGGGATGTGAGAGGTGGGAGAGGCCGAGTGGGGCAGGGCAGCCCGAGGGCTAGTGTTGGCTAGGAGCCAGCCTGCCTCCCTGTGAAGCTGCTTCTGATCTGGGCCACCTGGGTAGGACGGAGTACATGAATTGGAGAGCTGTCCCCTTGATCCCACTAATAAGTCCCACTGCTGGGTAAAAAGACAGCTCTCCTTAAAGAAACGAGGTTTCTTCCTTCACCCAGACACTCTTAAACCTTCCTTATTCCAGATTGAGTTCTCCTAGCTTTTCAGTAGAGGTGTCCCCAAAGATCTGTGACGTTTCTCCATTGTCCACTTATGTAGGGAGTTTCTAGAAACAGACTTCTGGTAGTACATCCTGTACCAGCCACACACCCAGCCATCACAGAAAGTTTTGATACTCCTGACCAATTTGCAGGGGTCTTCTCTGACCCTGAGACCATTTTCAGCACTTCATGGACTCATACAATTTTATATCTGGGGAGGATATTAAAGGCATCTTAGTTTAATTCATTCATTTTATAGGTGAAGAAATGAGAACTGAAGGGGAAAGAGCCAAATGGCTCATTAACATAGAACTGAACAAAAAATTAGTCTCCAGACGCCCATCTCTACCTAAATACCTGTCTCTACCCCTCTACGTATCCCCCCAAGCTGTAGTTCTGAAATTCCCTACCTTTTATCTTTTTCAAATATTTCTTTATTTTTAGTATATCCAGAGCTATATAACCATCCCCACTATCTAAATGTAGAATATTTTCATCATCCCAAAAAGAAACCCTGCACCCATTAGCAGTCACTCCCCACTGTCCTCTGCCCCAGCCCCTGGCAACCACTAATCTACTTTCTGTCTCTATGGGTTTGTCTCTTCTGGACATTTCATATAAATAGAATTCCACATATGTGGCGTTTTGTGACTGGCTTCTTTCACTTAGTATACTGTTTCCAACATTCATCTACATTGTAGCATGAATCAGTACTCCATTCCTTATGACTAAATGATGTTCCATTGCGTGAATAGGCCACATTTTATTCACCTAGCCATCAGTTCACAGACATTTGGGTTGTAGCCACTTTGGGGCTATTATAAATAATGCTTCTATGAAACATTCATGTGCAAGTTTTTTTTTTTTTCTTCCATTTTTTAAATTTATTTTTAAATTTTTTATTATTTTTTGTTACAGATATTTCTCACCCCCCCACCCCCCACATTGTTGTTTATGTCCATGGTTACGAATACACGCACATAAGTTCTGTGGTCTATCTCATCCACCCCCCTCCCCCGTCCCCCTCTTCTGAGGTTTGTCAGTCTGTACCCTACTGCTATGTCTCTGAATCATGTGCAAGTTTTTGTATGGACATATGTACTCTGAGTGATACCTAGGAGTGGGATTGTTGAGCATATGGTAACTTAGCCTACATTTAACATTTTGTGAGATTGCCAAAATATTCTCCAAAGTGGCTGGGTCATGTTACGTGCCCTCCAGCAGTGTACATGGGTTCCACTTGCTCCATACCCTCATCCGTATTTGTCATTGTCTGCCTTTTTTATTTTAGCCATCTTCACGAGTATAAATGGTGTCTCGCTGTGGCTTTGATCTGCGTTTCCTTAATGACTAATGATGCCGAGCATCTTTTCATGTATCTATTGGCCACTCATATATGTTCTTTGGAGAAATGTCTATTCAAATCCTTTGCCCATTTTTTAATTATTGTGGTGCCTTTTTTTTTTTTTTTTTACTTTTGGCAATTACCCTTAAGTCTTATTTTATTTTCCTCTGGTTACTTTTCCAGCTTATCTAGGTCCCGTTGGATCTTGTTCCCACCCAATCTCCTATAATTTTTAAGAGCTGTAGAATTGTGTCATCATAGAATTCATGTCATTGAAGCCCAAGTAAACATCTGGTACCATATTTGGCATATAAAAAGAGTTGAGGAGTCCCGCCAGGATGGCTCAGTGCTTGAGCGCTGACCTATGCACCAAGAGGTTGCAGGTTCGATTCCCAGTCAGGGCACATGCCCAGGCTGTGGGCCCGATCCTCAGTGAGGGGCATGCAGGAGGCGGCCAATCAATGTTCTCTCTCATTGATGTTTCTATCCCCCCCTCCCTTCCTCTCTCTCTAAAATCAATAAAGGAAAAAAAAATTATTAATAAAAAAAAAAAAAAGAGCTGAGGAAATGTTTGCTGACTTCATGGAATGAATGAATGAGTGCAGAGAATTCAACAAGAAATCATAGCCTTCTAAGAAGAAATGAACCTTAGACGTCACCTAGTCTAGGACAACAAAAACACAACTCGTGCACTGCCCCTCTAAATTCTGGCCATGGCAGACATCATCATTATCATTATTAATATTATAATATTTTTTCCTTTATTGATTTTAGAGAGAGAGGAAAGGAGAAGGAGAGAGAGACAGAAACATCGATGAGAGAGAACATGGATTGGCCGCCTCCTACATGTCCCCCCACTGGGGATCAGGCCCACAACCTGCGCATGTGCCCTGACTGGGAATCGAACTGGGACCTCTTGGTGCAGGGCCGACGCGCAAACACTGAGCCACACCAGCCAAGCATGGCGGACAATATTAACTGATCACAGCACAGTTTTTAGCTCAAACCTGGAGAGGGCTCATGATCCTCAACACAGAGCTCCGGGCAGCCACTACCAACCTGTCAGAGTTGACATGAGACAGGAGATTTATTTGTCATCACTGTCAGATTTTTAAACGGAAGTTCAGAGAGGTGTAATAGAGGTGGTATTTCAGAACTCAGTCTGTCTGACTCCCAAACCAGCACTCCTTTCGCCGCGGCCTACGACAGCCCTCTCCAGCGCCGGCACGCGGTGCACCTACATGCCCGTCTCTGCTCTGGCAAGGGCAATTTCACAGTGGTTCCTCACCAAGTGCCAGGTGCTGGCTGGCAGCCCAGTGCTGTTCCCTCTTGTTGGGACACACTCAGTCCCAAAAAGCACCCCCGCCACCTAACCGACCCCCAGAGCAAGCCCCCGCGCCCACTGACGCCCATCAGAGAATGTGCTCTTGGGACGTGAGACTCATCACAGTTCAGCTCTCCTCAGCTGAGCACCCCGCCCTGCCTGCTGACCCTGGCACGAGGCCAAGCCTGCCTCCTCCATGACAGTGACCTCCAAGAGAGTAGATTCGGGCAGCATTCTTCTACCCTGACAACCCCCAGGGTGCAGAGGGGGAGGCCCAGGTGGCAGGGAGCATGGCCCTCCCTTCCTGCCCCAGGGCCCTCACTCGCCTTCTCCTTCATCTTCTCGATCTTCTTCACAGAGCTGCGGCGCTGGGGCCGGTCCTCATGCCGCAGCAGGTTCATGCTAAGCTCTCCCGCCTTGTTGAACTGCTTCTCCTCCTGCTTCTCGGCCTCCTTCAGCTTGCTCTCTGCGCTGATGCTCTCCGCATGGTACATGTGGTAGGTTTTCATGACCTGGGGACATACAAGGACGGGGATCAGCAGCTGTCAGGGCCCAGCCTGAGCGGCTCTAGTGCTCCCAGCCCCCTAAGTTTTATGGTCTAGTCTGCTGGGTCCTCCCTCTTCCCGTGACACCCTCTGAGCTCCCACAGCTCTTTACTTCTGCACGAACTCTCTGAAAACTGGAAATGGTGACGATGATGATGATCAGCACAGTCCTTGCTAACTGCCAGGAATGAACTAGAAAAGAACATTTAAAAGGGCAGCCACGGTCCCCCAGCATTTGGGGTCTCAGAGGTGGTACGGCAAAGCTCGCTCTTCCTCAGCTGCCCTCTCGCCCGCCCACCACGATTCTTGCGTCCCTGCACCTTCTCCAGGGTCGCTGGGAAAGCCCCTCCTCCAGTCCTCATGGAGCTTCCATGGGAATATCCTTGTTACTCACAGACAAATTATTTTCTCAGCTGTTTCCTTAAGTAAAGTTGGCCTACAAATGACTGTTCCCAAAAGGAGTACTATTGGGTAACTGAATACCTATTCTATGCTCTCTGAACCAAACTCATGCTTGACTATCAAATAAATTTCTGTAAAGCATATTGCCCTTTGCTACTCTGTAACCATAACAAAAGCTGGATATTGGTATAACAAGGGAATTTTTGAGGCAGAGGAAACCCTAGATGTCATCTAATCCAACCACCAAATTTTATAAAGGGGAAAACCAAGGCCCAAAAGGGCAAAGTGGCTTCTCCAAGATCACACAGTATTATCAGCATAGTCCTTACATCCATGTGGCCAACTCCACAATCAAGGTACAGCGCACTCTGTCACAGGGAAAGCTCTCCTGTGCCCCTCTCCCCCTGTCCCCCAGAGGGAGGCAATCACTGATTTGCTTGGTGTTACTGTAGAGCTTCATATATATGGAACCACAGAGTATAAACTCTTTTGGGTCTGCCCTCTTTCACTCAGCATACTTTTTTTTTGAGATTCTCCCATGTCATTGCACGGATCGGAAGTTTTTGTTTTGTTTTTTATTGCTGAGTAGTATCCCATTGTACAGCTGTACAATTTATTTATTTGTATGTTGACAGTTATTTGGATTGTTTACAGTTTTGTAAAGCTGCTACGAACGTTTGTGTACAATTCTTCGCACGGGCATATGTTTTTACTTCTCTTAGGTAAACACCTAGGAGCAGAGTGGAGAGTCATATGGGTAAGTGTATATTTAGCCAAATTAGAAATCTGGTCTCTGACTTTTAATCCACCATTTTTCTAACATATCATACTGTTTCCTTAATTTATTCCAATTTTCTCAGCAATTGAATACTCTTGGCAGCCTTAAAGCAATATCCTGTCTCCTGGTCCCCAAATAAAAGTACTCATTTCCTTTGCAATATCAAGTTTATGATCATCTTTCTGTGCTAAGAAACACAAGAAATTTCTAGAATCCACGGTTCCCGGGGCGTGTTCATTCTCTTCTGCTGTTGTGTGGATAATTACAGCAGCTAACAGCCCAGGCTTCCACCTGGGGATAGGGCGTGCTCCTGCCTAACCAGGACCTTAACGGTCAGGGCAGTTGGAAGGAAATATTGGCCAACATTATAACCTTATTTACTCTCATTTAAAATTTTGTGAAGTTTATTACAATGAGGATTTCTTCTGCAACTCTTGTCATTACATCACAGCACTGATCTGTGGTTCAGAAAGTTCCCTTTGCCAGAGGTCAGGAGTCAATAGGGGCAACATCTAGTGTAGAGCAAAGTAGGTAAGAATATGGACTCAGCCCAAATGTCTGGGCTGAATCCTAATGCTGCCATTTACAAGCTGTGTGACCTTGGGCAAGTTGTAACCTCTCTGACCTCTCCTTCCTTATCTGTAACATGATGATAATAGTATCATAGGCTTGTTGTGAGGACATAATGTGTTAATTTTTGTAACGTGCTAAGAACAATACCTGCAATAAAGTTAAGAGCCATGCGAGCATTAGCTGCTACCATCATCGTTATCCCTCTTTAGGCTGAGGGTTTGAGAACCTTGAACCCACTTCAGGAAAATGTCTGCAAATTCTAGAGAACATAAACTCCTGTGAAAAATATATATTCTATACCATATTTGTCCTTCCTTCTTTCAATCTGAAAGCCTCCCCAAATTTCAAAGCAATTTTAAAAGTGCAATCAATTTTTCTTTATAGGGCTTGGTAAAAAGATCTCTTGTCTGCATTCCACCCATTTTTTTTTTTTTGCTTATTTGCAATTGCCTTAAAACCTCTAGAGATGCCCTTCTTGCTGATTTCATCCACTCCTTGTACCAGTTCCACCAAGCATTATTACCAAACTCAAGGGACCAGAAAGTGTGTTGGATTGATGCATTCTTGACATCTAGTGGCCAAAAGGAAGGGCTGCAGGCTTGAGGATAACCAAAGCAGCTGCCTATTTTCAACCATCTCCTTACGCCTTGGCTCTAGGAGCATAATGCGGCTAAGGGTTGGGAATGCTGCTGAAGTCTATCTCCGGGGCCCCTGCCTTTCCCATTCTTGAAGCTTTTCTCTCTCCCTCCACATTCACAGACACCACTGATTTCTTTGCTTCTCCACCATACTGCTGGTGATGTTCATTTCTGGATTCCACCCTTTCTGGGTTCATTCATTTAGGCTACATCCATTTTTTCTACTCGGGCTGCTGAGGTCTGCTTGTCTCACCACCAATCTATCATCTGTGTTGGGTCGTTCAGAGGAAGAGAGAGCATTTCTATTTGCAGCTACATCTTCCTGTCCAATCATCCATGTACGCACCCATCTACTCACTTGAGGTCAGCACCCCAGCAGGGTATTCTCAGATCCTCACAGTTTCCTTTGCCTGGTTTTCTACTCTTCCTGACCCACAAAGCATTCTTCATGCTCTTCAACAAGCCAAACTTCCCAGTGCAGTCACTGAACTGCGTTCCACAAACCCCATGTTTGGAGAACATAGCCCGGACAACGCTGGGGCCATATGCTATGTGATCCAATCAGTAGTTCTTGATCCCAAAAATATCCATGAACTGGATCACCCAGGGTGACTTATGTCCAACAGCTGCCACAGAAGAGTTTACCTGGGGACCTCTCTGAAATGAGCCTAAATACTTATACCCAGAATCCTCTGGATAAATACATTTCTTTTATTTAATTGACTGAAACATAGGAGTGAACATTAAAGGTCCTTAGTTTAGCCCTGGCCAGTGTTGCTCAGTGGCTGGAGCATTGGCCAATGCACCAAAGGGTTGCGGGTTTGACTCCTGGTCAAGAGCATGTACCTGGGTTGCAGGTTCAATACCCAGCCCCAGCTGGAGCTCGTGCAGGAGGCAACGATCTGTGTTTCTCTCTCTCTCTCTCTCTTTCTCTCTCTCCCCCCTCCACCTCCTTCCCCTCCCTCTAAAAATCAATGAAAAAAGTAGCCTCCAGTAAGGATTTAAAAAAAAAAGGTCCTTAGTCCAATAGCCTAGAACAGTCTGCCCAATATTGCCAGTCCAGGATACATTAACTAATATTTAAACTTATCTATTACTTCAGAGTTTGCAAACCTCTCCCTTTATTAACCCCAAGGAGCATTTCAGTTCATCCTTATCCCAGGCCTGGGAAGCAATGTGATAACAATGACAACAGCAGCCGACTTTACTGAGCGCTTACTACCTGCTGGGACTTTACATATAATAACTCATTTATTTCTCACCAAGAAACAAAAAAAAACCCTCTGAGGTGGAACACCACGTTATCACTGCTTTACAGGTGAGAAAGCCACGATATAGGGATGAAAGGATCCTCTACCCCCACAGGGACCCAGGAGGCCTGGCTTTGAGACTGTACACTCCCACCACTTGCTGGGTGACCATGGCAGAGGCCTGGTGAAGACCAGATGGGAGGCAGACAGGAAGGTGCCCCCTAATGGCAACTAAAGTGACTGGCTGGCAGCAGCGTTGGGCTGGGAGGGAGCAGAGGTGGATGCAGGAGTTTCGCTGAGGCCATGTCTCCAGCGTAGGGTCAAAGGGCCTCTCAGAGGCACCCACCCGGCTTCGTGCCAGATGGGGGTTCCGCTTCCAGCCCCCCGGACCCTATCAGGAGGGTGCCTCAGAACAAGTCTAGCGCAGGCTGAGAAGCACTGCAGAGGAACATGGGGGTTGAGACCACTGTTCTTGGACCCATATTAGTTTCACAGGTGCTTGGAAGGCCTCCAGAAATCTTAGTGTATTAACCCATCACTGAAGGGAACTGAGGCCCAGAAACAGCAAGTGTACTGTCCAAAGTCACACAGCAAGCCAGACAGCCAGGCTTCTTAGCAGTGGACAATGTCTTTTCTGGTCGCCACACTACCTTCTGCTGTGTACGCTTTGCCTTTCACATCTTCCCAAATCCCCAGCTCATGACAATGGGGAAGCATGACCTGCACAGCCCCTCAGACACTCGTTTAAAGACATAAGAAGGCAGCCCTGGCCGGTTTGGCTCAGCGGTTAGAGCATCCGCCTGCGGTCCGGAGAGACCTGGGTTCGGTTCCCGCTAAGGGCACGTACCTCGGTTGCAGTTTGTCCCCGGCCCTGGTTGGTCGTGCAGGTGGCGGCCACTCGATGTGTCCCTTTCACATCGATGTTTCCCTCTCTCTCTCTCTTTCTCTCTCTCCCTCCCACTCTATCTGTACAAAAAATGGAAAAATGTCCTCGGGTGAGGATAAAAAAAAAAAAAAAAGACATAAGAAGGCAGAGGCAATGTGGAAGTTGACAATATCAATACAGGGACAGCTGGGGCAGTATAAGGACCAGTTGTTAGAAAACAGGACCATCCCCAGGCCATCCAAGAGTGATGCGTGGGTGAGACCCTACGTTAATGCATGCCAAAGACATCCTAGAAGGAAAAGAGAAGTCCCTAAATTCAGTCTGACCACCACACTGTGTGACCTATGCTCTCCACAGAATTTATCAGTGCCATCTTAGTTCTTCACTTTGCATATTTATAAACAGTCTCGTCCCAACTAAAGTTAAAGTCCACGAGGGCCAGGACCTCGTTTATGATCATATCCCCTATATTAAAGTGAAGATGGGTACCCAGCAAATACCAATATATGTTTGCATGAATATATGAATGAATAACAGTTGGCTGTCTGAGTAGATGAATAGGTGGATGGGTGGGTGGGTGGATGGATGGATGGATGATGGATGGGTGGGTGGATGGGTGAGTGGGTGGATGGATGGGTGGGTGGATGGGTGGGTGGATATGTGAATGGAAGAAACAGAGGAAGGGGAGGAGGGAGAATAAAATAAGGGAGATACGTATAGTTTACTCCCTTCGATCTGGTAAATATAGTTGGGGGTGGGGCACAGCTACACCTTCAATAATTACATTTTTATTGAACAGGTTATAATGTGCTAGGACATATACTAGAAAATACTACAGTGTGGAAGACAGGGTCTCTGCCCTCACAGAATACACCCTCTCATAGGGACACAATGACAAAGTGACTATCACATGGTGTGATGAGTGCTATCTATGATGAGGGAAGTGCAGGGCACTAAAGGAAGGCTTCCTGGAGGAAGTGACATCTAAACTAAACCTTGAAGAAGAGTAGCTGCTAGCTGGGTGAACAGGGCATGGAGTGGGGGCAGGGGAGGAGTATTCCAGACAAAGGGAGAGTGTGAGCAGTAAGGCCAGAGGAGCAGGGTTTTATTTGGGCACTAAATGGAGCTACTTCCTTATTCTGCCCCAGCTACTCCTCAGCGGACAGCTGTTGTTTCCTCTGCCTAGGATCGTCTAGTCCTCCTTCTAGAACCGCTTCCTGATTTTCCTTGAGGAAATCTTCCAAGTTCCTCTCCCCATTCTCAGTCCATGTGGTTAATGGGAAACTGAAACCAGGCTCCATTCCTGAGGGTGGGCATGAGACGGCAGGCCTGGCTCATTATTATCATTATGTTAATCTGTCCACAGTGACTGGATCTCATGATTCCAATCAGGCCAATTAGAGACAGCGCTGGGCTCTGCTGGAAACACTGGAAAAGGCATGTTCTCCTTCCACTAGGGGGCGCTAAGCTGACAGGAAGGGAGCTTGCAGTGGGGCTGGGTGGGTGACCATCTTTGTGACCACATTGGAGAAGCCTGCCTGACCATGAAAGTAGCAGAAGGAGAAAACAACAGAAGAGGGAAACAGGCTGATTTCCAAAGGCAGATGAATGGATGGATGAATGGATAGATGGGTGGACGAACAGATGGAAAGAAGGAAGGAAAGGAGCGAGAGAGGAAGGAAGGAGGAAAAGTGAGGGAGGAAGTAGGATAACATGGAGGAAGTAGTGTTTTACTGCCTTTCATCTGGAGAGAACTGTGGAGGGCTGTTTGCTGCAGGAGAGCTGTGGTAGGCAGTTAGAAGCAGAGCAAGGACAACCGGCCAGGTACAGAAGGTCACCAGGGCAAAGCTGGGAAAACAAGAACCTCGCTCCCAGGGCGACCTTTCCTCCCCTAGCATATTGCTGGCCATGAGATTCGGACCCTCCCCTGACCTTTCCTCCCCTGGCATGTTGCTGCCTCCTTGTAGGGGTTACAAGCAAGGGGGTCAAAGAATAGCCCTTAAGTATTAAGCCCCCAGGACAAAGAGGTTCTGACCCACATCAAATACATCTAGACCTCAGTTGTGTTTCAGCTCCAGGCCCAGAAAAGCAGCAAAACCAGACCAGCTGCATTGACTAATGACCCCCTGACCTGGTGCCAGCCAATCAGTGGAGACCATGAACCTGAAAGGACACACCTGGTAAGCTGATGCATATTCTATTGAGATCTTCCCCGGGGACCTCCCCTAAAATCTCCACCTTAGCATGCCTGCACCTCTCCCCTCACCTTCCTCTTCCCCTGCCCAACCCCCCCCCCCCCAGGTGCATCACCTTTACCTTTCTCTCTCCTAAGCTCCAAAGGCTCTTCTTTTGCCTCTGTCACTTGTTTTTAGGGCTCATTTCTTCTACCACTCACTTCTACCTCTGTGGCCTTCTAACACCTGGTGCCATTTTTGTTATCGCTGCCAACAGAGTGAGAGCACCGGGGTGTCAACAGCACCCCCCCCAAGTCATCTGTTGACTGCACACTGAGTCTTCAGTAGTTGCCCAGAAATTCTTAAATCCAAGCATGTGGAGCTGCCTGCCGTGGACCCCGTGCTGCCAGAGGCACAGCGGCAGGCTGGGAACATTTCAAGAGCTGGTCTTTGAAGTGTCTTGTACACCCCTGGTGTTCCCAGGGTGCTGACTAGGGCAGAGAAGGGAGGGAGAGAGAGATAAATAAATGAAAGAAACTGGTTTCGCCCACAAGCAGTTTAGACTCTGGGCTGGGAGACAGGAGTAAAGCATGTGAAAGGATGATACAGCAGCCCGAGCAGAGCATAGTACGTGCTCAGTATGTGGCCCAGGAGGGAGGGTGTCTAGACCGCGAGTCCCGGGGGCTGCGCTGTTTCACGGTGCATCCAGGGCCTCCCGCAGGGTGGCACAGAGCCGCGATCAATACATCTCTGCTGAGTGAAGAAGAGAGAGGGAGAGTGTGCGCCTGCATGAGAGATTAGTTAAGAGTTCAGAAAAGTGATGGCTCCAGGTGAACTTCTATGATCCAGGGTGAGTTCTGAGCCTGGTCCCTTTGGGTGGGTAGGGATGCAAGAGGCAGAGGGGAAGAGAGGAAGAGAAAGAGAATTCTCAGCAGGAGAGACAATGTAGAATCCCAGCAGAGCAAACGGATTCCAGACAAATCTGGGTTTGAAGTCCTGCTGCACCACCAACCAAGTCAATTCCTGCCCCGTAACCAGTGTGCTTGTGTTCCCCATTCACTCGCCTGCTTGGACTCAACACTCATTTCAAGTCCAGTTAGATTTTGCCTCCAAGCAGACAGCAAGGTCAGTTTTTGGCCTAATTGTGACATTCTGAAATGACTTCCAGGAGATGGCAAGGCATGCTCACCCCTACCACCTCATGTGATCCTCAGAACAGTGCTCCATTTTACAGATGAGAACACTGGGCCCACAGAGCTACATGCATGCCTAAGATTCCATGGTGAGCAAGGAGCAGGCCTTGACCTCAGCCTGTCCTACCTGCCTCCAAACCCACATTCCTTCCTCGGCAGCTTTTGTGTCCATGTTTCCCCCATCCCAACTTTGTGTCTTTTGCTTTGGTAGGTAACACAGCCCCTCAGCTGGAACTTTTACAAAGTAAACATGCCCAGGGCCCCACCCCAGATGTACAGAATGAGAAGCTGGGGTTGTGAATCATTCCATCCCACCATAATGACCCACTGTCACTCGGGCACACGACACAGCAGAAAGGCCCAGAGTCGTCCCAGACTTCTGATGAGCCTCCCTCCAGCCCTGGGCACTGAGGAGGGGGCCCAATCTCAAATGGCAGCAGCAGCTGAGCAGGACTTACCGTGTAGAGCTCATTGGTGACCTTCAGGAGCTCTTCATGCATCTGCAGGCCAATCTCCTTGCTCTGCAATATGAAAGAGCAAATGTTAGAGAGGAGAAGGTAGCTGGTTGCATTAAATCTCCTTTTCAACACAGCAAGGGCGGGAATGCTTTGGGTGGGGACTGCAGAACTCAACACAAACCTCATTGATCTAGACTTGAATTCCTTGACTTGTGCTCATGCAACAAAGCCTTCCCAGGCCATGTAATCTGCGGAACTCTATTTGATGATTCGCAGAGACATCACGACGTTAAAGTTCTGAGAAACCCCACAGCCAATCAGCCTGTTCATCTTTCTTTAATTCGGTGTGTCCTCCGTTTATGTGACCAGAGTGTGTGTCCATAGTTCAACACTCGTTACATCTCACGAGAGCGGGCCTCCACAGAGCACCGTTTGCGAAGTAACGATCTAGCACCTCAGTTCAGAGCCACGCAGGTGAGCAGACAGCCCTCCTGTTCACAGGCAGACACTGAGGTTCTCGCCTCCGCTGTGTCACCAACTGGCCATGTGGCCTTGGAGACTTAGTTACCTCATCTGTGAAATAAAAAACTTAAACTAAAGAAACACTTCCCAGAGCATGCTCTGGGGGTGCCACAGTAAAAAAAGGGGGCAGGGGCTTCTGTGAACAGATACATTTGGGAAAAGCTAGTTAAAGTGAGACAGGTTTCCTTCCTGCAGAACTTTTCAGAGGCGTTTATACGCTCACGTGCATGGACTTTCTAAGGGGTCTGTGGTATGTAGGTTAGTTGACTTCAATCCTTTTTCTTTTTTCTGCAAGGTGACTTACATGTTCAGTATACTGAGGGACACAATTCAGAAGACAATGAACAAATGATCTCCAGATTCTATCCAGCCTGAAGAGTCTAGGATTCTGTTACTCTGTATCATCATCATCATTATTGTAAATACTCTCCCTGTTTGCCATGCGAAGTTGCCGTATTGAAAATGGGAGTCCTGCTCCCTGCTCCCTGGGAGCTGAGTCATCCTGCTCTCCCTTTCAGCTTCCTCAGCCTCAAGCATGACCAGCAGCCAACAGGCAGAGACCAGCCTTCTTCCCCGCCACCCTGTGCAGGTCAGCAGCCCCTGACTCAGCGGTACTGGGGAGGGCTCAGTACCAGGCTCATTCTCCTCACCTGCAGCCTTTCTCTCAGCGTCTGGGCCTGGACTTGCCGAGAGTCACTTGTCTGAAGGCAGCCCTTGCACACAGCGGATCTCTTAACAGACCGCAGAAGCTCTGGGGCAATTCCAGAGATCTGCTTAGACCCCGCTCCAGCTCTGTGACTAAAGGAAAGGGACCCGATCCAAAAGCACAGCAGAGCCTCGGCAGAACCTTCTGTGCAGATCTCACGGGAACCTTCCGTTCCATCCCATGCGTGTACACAAATGCACGTTGAGCTCCACTAGCCATGCCCATTTCCTTCTGTTCTCCCCGGTGCTCAGCCTGTGCCTCAGTCTCTCCTGTGGCCCAGCCCCCGGCCCACTGCTGGCCCTGGACTCCGACCCCTGCAGAGGCTCCTCCCAGTGCTCAGTCTCACCAACATCTCTGACACCCAAGACCCAGTCTTCTGTATTTATTTTTATGATCTCACTTTTTCGAAGGTACTGAATGCACATGGCTATAGGAACCCTAACAGCCAGCAAGGTAAAAGTGAAAAGTCTCTCAAGCTTCCAGACCCCTGCCCAGAGTCAACTGCTCTTCAGAATTTTGTCTGACACTTTCCAGAAACAGTCTATGCGTACAGAGCATGCATTTGGATAGTGTATCTTCTTTTTTAAACACAAATGGGGTCTTCTGTTGACACCTTCAATATATCTGGGAGATTTTCCCTTCACAGCCCACGTAGCTGTTGTATCCTCCTTTCTGACTGCTGCTTGGGGTTCCATATACCAGACTTACCATCATTAACTAACCCGCGGCATAGTGATGGGCATTTGGGTCATCTCCAGTTTCCTAATATTTCAAACAATTATGCTCTGCACATGGACAGAGACCCCGTCAGATACATTTCTAGAAGCAGCTCTGCTGGGAAGAGTCCTGCCTTTAAAACTGCCCCCAGCTCCCCACACACGACTGACTTCGGCTCCCATTTCTCAGTGATCAGCGGCTGTGCCATCATCGCCACGGTCCTCTCTCCTGGGCTCTGTCCTGCATGACCTTGAGCCCAAGCTCAGAGACCTGTATCTTCAGCTGTTGCAAAGCAGTATTGTCTGGAGGTCCCTTCGTCACATCAAACTCAAATTACCCAAAAGCAAACTCCTGAACTATCTCCATCTCCTTGAGTTTGGTCAGTGGGATATCTTCCCAGGCATGGCAACTGAAAAATTTGGAATTATTATTTTTAAATCCCTCCTCCTCACTCCAGTCTGTCACTGCCTCCTGCTCTCTAACTGCCCAATCCTTTGTTCTCAGCAGCAGGTGATGCTGGTTCCCTCCCCAACATCCATTCTTGCCCTTCCTGCTTCCTAACAGAGCCATGAATTTGGCCCTGCATTCGACCCTCCATCTGAGTTCTTAAAGCACTGACCCTACCCCAACTTGAGATGATGATTCTGCTATGTGTTGTTAGCCCAGGGGTATGCGACTCAACTGGATCAAGAGAAGGATTTAGGTGGTTAGGAGGAAGGTTTCAGCTTTTCTACTGAGTACAAGCAAAAGAACCATGGAGCCCTGGCTGCTACCAGCAGGCATCGTAGGACCGTAAGAGGAAGCAGCTTTGGGTGGCAGAACAAAAGAATCCTGGCTCCTTAATGACTTCCTGAGAAATTGGTTGAACTGAGCCCAAAGCCTGCCTCCCAGTGAACTTCCATTCTGTGGCTTTGTTGGTTAAGCCACTGTAACCTGGGGTTGTCACTTGCAGCCAAAAGCATCCTAAAAGATAGATTTCCCACCACCAGTCCCAGAACAAGCATGTCGTCATTGCGGGACCCAGATTACTGAACTTGCCCCTTAACAAAGTCCTCGACTCTTGTCCCTGATTCTGCATGTCCGTGCCAGTGTAATTTCCTGGAAATGTATCTCACTGTGCCCTCCAAAGCCGCCTCGGTGCCTACGGGATCGAGCTCTTCAGCTGACTCCCGAGCTCTAGGCAAGCGGCACGGGAGCTCAGACAGTAGGGAGGGCTGTGCTGTGGAGCCACGGAGACGGGGACTGGAGACAGGCTGTAAGCCACTTAACGTCTCCGCACCTCGGCTCCCCCCTGTAAAATAACATCTACGACTGTCCTGCTTTGCACTTCCAAAGGGAAGTATAATGACCTTGCTTGTTTAATTATTTATTCGGCATTTGTTTTCCCCACTTGAATGTAGACCCCAAGAAAGAAAAAAGACGTTCTCTTTGGTGGTAGATGCTCAGCTCCTCCAGTTGCTAGGAGGGCTGACAGCAGACAACCCCTCACCAAGAGCACCCTTAGTGGATAGCCTCAGAGGACAAGGTGACATACCTTCCAAAGACTGACACCTCATTCAAAAATAGATCTGTGTAGGACATAGCAGCCTGCCTCTCCTGTCTCAACCTGGACAGCGCGGACTTGTCGCTCGGTCTGGAGAACTCCCGTCGGGCTGGCTAGGCCTTCCAGGAAGGCTGCCTGCATCATGGCTCGACTTCCCCATGCCGCCTCTCGTCCCCTCGCAAGGCGTGGGTCCCAAGAACACCCCCTAATCATTCTGCTACGTGCTAAATTCAGGTACCAGAATCGGCAATATCTCGCTTCCCTGTCCTCCCTGCAATGGACAGAGCCTGTCAACACAGTGGGTGCTCCTTTGTTGAGTAAATCTATGAACGAATGAAGTGACAGTTTCTAAGCCTTAGTTTCCTTATCTGTAGAAGTGGGATGATGTCACGGGTGTCTTGGAGTCCCTGTGAGGATGAAAAGAGATAACACCTAAGGCAGCACCTGGCACCGATGAAGAGCTTTGGAAATAGTAGTACAGGCTGAATCGACACCCGCTGATGCCAGGGACAAAGCTAGGAAGTTGCCCAGGAAAGGAAACACAAGTTGACTTTTTTATTAAGTTGTCCCTCAAGAATCTCCTAGTTTGGCTGGATCGAGAGTCAAGAACCAAATTCTAAGGCAGGAGGCAGAAAGGGCCTCGAGTGTGAAAGGTGAGGTGATGTGGGAGGAAGTGATGACGAGGACGCAGGCTACCACCACAGCCGCCTCACCCTGAGTGAATGGACAGAGATGAGCAAAGGTGCAGAGACCGGGACCAGGGCAAGGCTTGGTTTGCAAAGAGAGAAACAAAGCAACGGAAGAGCAGATGGGCTTGAAATGGAGGCGGGGCCAGGCCACAGGCTGACGGAGGGCGGGCTTCGTTCACAGTGGAACCGGGGGCCTCCGAAGGCTTTCGGGCAGGGCAGTATGATGATCAGAGGTGTGCTTCCTCGGGAAGATGGAGGCGGGTCTCTGGAGGGTGGACTGGATGCGGAGGAGCTGGAGGTCAGGTTCCTGTGTTTCCTTAACGCACAGTAAATCAGCAGATGGAACCTGTCTGAGTCTCTGTTCATCTTCCTCTCTGCACCAAGCACGGGGCTGGCCATAGAGTGAGTGTTCAGCCAATAGTTACTAAACTGCACAGGACTCAAAGGAATTTTATTTTTTTATGGTTGAGGTTGGTTGGAAAGGGAAATATTCTGAACCACAGTTCCAGAAACTACTGAATGAGGAACCCAAACCAAACATTCCTCCCAGAACAGGAGGCCAAAATGCTGATAATCTCTAGCAGACCACCACACCCAGTCCTTGGGGACCCAAGTGGCAGTGCATTAGCACTCTCTGTCCGCATTTCTCACATGACTTTCATGCCTGCAGAGGTCGGGGGTGGCAGGCTGCTTTCTTCACGCACAGGAAGTGTGTGGACTGTAGAAAATGATTACATTGGACCAAGTAGGGCTCAGCCATGGCAACCGTGGTTCTTTGGGGCTGAGAGAGTCCAGCAGTGTCTGTCTGACCCAAATAAGTCTGTAAAATCAGGGAGCAGGTGGCCCAGCCCTGCCTCTTTCTTCTGCCCACAGCTAATGCCAGTTA